CATGGTGCAAAAATGTGTATGTGTAGAAATTCTTGAAAAATGATACTTAGCATTCATGTTTTACCTTTTGTTAAGACTTATTATCCCTGCTAGATTTTTTCTTTCATTATTATGGGAAACTTCAAGCATACACAAAAGTAGAGAGAAAAGAAAATGAACCCTTGAGTACTTATTACCTAGTATCAATACATCTCAATATTTTACCAATCTTATTTCATCTATTCCTCCATTTTTTAGGGAGGGGTTGGCATATTTTAAAACAAAGCAGTCATTAAAGTCTAAGAAAGGATTGAAATAAACCCTTAAGTGCAAGGACGCTACCTTAACTTCCTTTGTATTCCTAGTACCTGGTACGATGCCTGAAAATAGCAGATGCTCAGAAAAGACTGGTTGAATTGAAAGGAGGAAGAACAAAACTTATGAAAACTATTATTTTGAACTATAGGAGGCAGACTTATAGAAAATAAGTCTTGCCCTAAAATAGCTTCTTTTACATTATCTGAATGTATTATTTGTGATCAGAATTTTCCTGTCACTGTTTTGATTGCAAAAGAAAACTCTTTCCTTTTTAAAAAAATTTTTTGAGAGACACAGTGAGAGCATAAGCAGGGTGAAGGGCAGAGGGAGAAGCAGATTCCCTGCTGAGCAGGGAGCCTGATGCAGGGGCTCGATCCCAGGACTCCACTCTGAGATCATGACCTGAGCCAAAGACAGACGCTTAACCAACTGAGCATCCAGGCCCCTCCCCCTCCTTTTAAAATTGTATTTGGAAAAAACTTTTCAAGGTTAGGTTCAAGGTCTCTCAATTACTTATATGTTATTATTTTTCTTTTTTTTCTTATATGTTATAAATACATCCAATCTGGTGACATTTTCCCAAACATTAATCAAAGGTTACCTGCCTTAGAAAGAACTTTCTTTTGAAAATCATAATTTTTTTTTAAAGATTTTATTTATATATTCATGACAGACACACACAGAGAGAGAGGAGAGACACAGGCAGAGGAAGAAGCAGGCTCCATGCAGGGAGCCTGACATGGGACTCGAACCCAGGACTCCAGGATCCCACCTGGGCTGAAGGTGGCGCTAACCCGCTGGGCCACTGGGGCTGCCCCTGAAAATCATAATTTTTTAAACTGTGGAAGTAATATAAACCCATTAAAAGAAAAATAGGAAATAACAGAGAAATGGAAAATAAAAATTACCTGTATGTTAATATGTAATTCCAAAGGTAGCATTATCATGGTTAGCACTCTGATAACATTTGAGCATGAATCACGTTGGTAAATAGACTTAGTGATCTGTGTGCTCCTGGGAATGTACCAGCTGTATTTGGGTGCACCTCTCCATAAATTCTTACAGCAACATTTTAAGCTAAATGTGTATGTATGTATATATACATATATATAATATATATATTTATGTTTAATAGCTTGATAAACATGTTGGGAGGGAATGCCTTCAGTCACTGGCAGATGAGCAGGTTGCGCAGGAGATCTCTCTCTTTTTTTTTTTTAAGGAGATCTCTTTTGAAAGACAGTTGGATCTGTGTTTTATAGACCCTTCACACCTCCCATGTTTACTCCCAGGAACCAACCAGACCTCACGCTTCCCTCATGCTGGTGGCTCCCTATACAGTCAGTTTTGAAGATGGCCCTAAGGCTTAGAAGAAAGGAGAAGTGATTATTTTTAACTAGATCCACATTTCAGGAAATGGACTTAGCAATGAAGGGCTAATTATTAGGTAATCATTAAGAATGGTTCCTTGACTTTATAATAAATTTCTTATCTTTGGACAAATGCCGTGGGGTGCAGCAATATTGCTTAGCAATATTAGTCTATGATTATTCCCAGCTTGCTATTGGTTGGGTAGGTTTTATATATTTATTTTTTAAAGATTTTTATTTATTTAGTTATGAGAGAGAGAGAGGCAGAGACACAGGCAGAGGGCGAAGCAGGCTCCATGCAGGGAGCCCGACGTGGGACTCGATCCCAGGTCCCCAGGATCACACCCTGGACTGAAAGGTGGCACTAAACCGCTGAGCCACCTGGGGTGCCCTGGTTGGGTAGGTTTTAAATCTCTCTAAGCCACTCTTCCTCCCTGTGTAGAAGGACAGGGTGCTTGACTTGTGTGCCCTCTGGTCCTTTGTGCTTCTAACACTGTAGTACCTCTGTGGTCAGAAGTCTCTTCAGCCAGGTGAGTCTCCCTGGTAGGGGGCTATTCCTCCATAAGCAGCTCTTAGGAAAACAATGGTCTCAGTCTAAATTTTCCAAGAATGAGATGGACATGTTGAGTCACTGTATTGTACACCTGAAACTAACATTACACTGTGTGTTAACTGGGATTTAAATAAAAAACTTAAAAACACTATTGCTGATTCAAGCAGGTAAGCCTCTGCCGTTAAGTCCCCAAGAAGTTGTCTGATTGGCCCCAGGAACCTGCAGACTTCCTGGAGGGAGGAGATCAGATGCAGGAAGCCATGTGAACACAGTCAAGGAAGGGAGGAGGACGTAGAGGAAGGCTGCCAAGGGGAACTCTGCATATTTCAGGGGTTTGTGTTGGGTGCACCCAGGTGCCTAGGTGAGGAAAGAGATTGGAATGCCCACGTGAAGTTAGCTAGTGGCAGAAGCAGCCTTTGGGCCTGGCCTTGTGGGCTCAGACTTGCTAGTTGTATGGTTGAGGGCAAGTTCCTTACTCTCTACACTCATTTTTCTCCTCTATGAAATGGAGAGACTAATGATTTTGACCTTGCAAGGTTGGGAATGCGAACTAGGTAAATTAATAGAAGTGATTTAACCCCAGTGCATGCCACTGAGTAAATGCACAAATAAATCAACTCTTCTTATTAGCTGTTATTACGGCCTTCAGCATCAATTCCTTGTGATACTCTCACAAGACCCTAATCACAGGCCATCCTGTTTAATTGCTTCCTGAGTTAAATCTTCTCTTTTGTGGCTTGACCCAGGAACCTAACCTCCGTTTATAACATTTAACCTAGAGAGAAAAATGCTTTCTATGTAGCCCTTGAACTTAGCCTAGAGCTCAATTTTGGGAACACTACCCATCAGTGAAGTAGGGGACTATCTTGAGAGGTGCTAAGATTGTCTTGTTCTTGTTTTTCTCTGAATTACCACATCCCTACGTCTAATTAAAAACAAACAAACACAAGGCGCCTGGTTGGCTCAGTTGGTTAAGCGACTGCCTTAGGTTCAGGTCATGATCCCGGGGTCCTGGGGTGGAGCCCCATGTCACCGCTCAGCAGGGAGCCTGCTTGTTCCTCTCCCTCTGCCGGACGCCTGCTCTTGTGTGCACACATGTGTTTCTCTCTCAAATAAGTAAATCTTCTAAAATATTTAAAAACCAGTTTAACAACTTTGTTTTCATTATGAAAGGACAGAAGGAGATGATAGAAAAGTCAAAAAATAAAAGAGAAAACACACCCTTGGCTAATCCCATACTCCTCATACAGTTATTGTCAGCTTTTAGGCTGTATTTCTTTCTAGAGTTTTCTTTCTGTAGTTTTAGTGGTCATCATAGAGACATCAGTTTATTTCTGTTTTCCTTTTTGTTAAGATCTAATCATACCTGTTTTTGTGTCATTACTTGGCACAGAAAATATTTTGTACTCCATTCCATCCATTTAACTGAGGATACCTGCCTTAGAAAGAACTTTCTTTTGAAAATCATCATTTTTTTAAACTGTAGAAGTAATATGCGGATGATTGCCGCCCTGGCATTTTCTGCACCCTTGTGATAACATGCTTAGAATTTGAGGAGAGAGGTGGTTTCAGCAGTGCAGGGAGGATGTGGGGGGGGATTGCTGGCTGTCCCCAGGGGGGCCTTGCCAAGTAGCCCTCATCACCTTCGTGCATTCACTACGGTCCAGGGTGGGCCCAAAACTGGATTTTTGTCAGTAACTAAGGGCATAGCCACCTCTCAGAGGTGAACTCATACTATCTCACCATGTGCTTATACAGTATGAAACCAGAATGGCAACTCTTCAACTGACGGTGAGAAATGGTACGATAGAGAGGTGCTTGTGGCAGCCGCCTGGGTGTCCACCTGTTGCTCATCTTTAGTCTAGAGTTACTTAATGTGAATAATAGAACAACAGTATCAGTGATGGTCAGCACGTAGTCGGTGCTCACTATGCACCAGGAGGTGGGCTAACACTCTGTTTTAATACATCAGGTCATTCAGTCCCACAGTAACCTCGCCAGGGAGGTGTTGTTTTTATCCCCATTTTACAGGTAAGGAGACTGAGGCTCGGTTAAGTGACAGGCTTGGGGTGTCATGGCTGATATGTGGTGGAGCTATGGTTCTGTCTAAATCCAAACCCCTGATGTCAAACACTGCGCTGTGGCTCTCCCTGTTAGCCTTCTAGATGGCTGACTTCCTGTGTCGGCGTTCTCTTACGTTTCCTGCCCTCACCCCCCACCTGTCGGGGCGTGCGCTATATCAGTGCCTCCTTGTGAATGTAACATTTACAGCTGAAACATCCTTGATTTTTATTGCGGGTTGTCGAGGAACAAGTGTTTCTAGCTGTCACAGAGAAGAGCTTTTTGCCTTTTTCCTTATTTTTCTCTTTGGGTCAAAAATACAAGATTTCACATGTTGTTAACCTTCTCTTAAAGTTGTGCTAGGAAAGGGCCACTAAAGAAAAAATGGGGTGGGGGGCATATTTGGGGCTGCATCCAACTCAGAACTGGGAGGCATTCACAGCCTCTTCTTTACCTTCACCTCCTGTACAACATCTGGAAGCACCTTTTCTTCTTGGGTGACAGCCTGGGTGGTAACCTGGAGAGAACTCCAGCGAGGCACAGATGGGTGGAGCCCCCTGCCCCTGAAATCTGATTTTCTGACCTCAAAGTCCTTGTTGGAGAAGCCCTATTACTGTCAGCCAGGATCCCCTGGGGATAGGTTTTCAGTCTGTGCTGACGGGAATCACTCAGGATAGGATTTCCACGTGAAATAATGTGTCTTGGTGATTGCCTTTCAGAGACTGATGGAGCAGAGCTACTGAGCAGAAGCAGGCATCCTTAGTTGTCGCCAGGTTTGCCTTTGGATTGGACAAGTTGCACTTGAGGCTTCCTGCCTGCGGTGAAGTGGACGGATACGTGCTGCTCACGGAATAACAGCCATGGGCTTCCTGGTGACCTTCCACCTTTCCTACAAAGTCCGATTACTGTTGCTTTTTCTCTTATGCCTGACAGTGGTTGGGTGGGCCACCAGCAACTACTTTGTGGGTGCTATTCAAGAGATCCCTAAAGCACAGGATTTCATGGCTAATTTCAACAAGGTCCTCGTTTGGGGGAAGGAGAAAACTATGATTAATGAAGAATCCAGGAAAGAAGCAGACCTGGACAGCTGCCCTTCTGTGTCTCCGTACCTCAGTAAGGTGTTTTCTTTTTTCTTTCTCTCTTTTTTTTTTTAACAAGTGCTGTGTCAACTTTTTCGTTAAATATAACATATGTGCAGAAAAACACAAATCAGAAGTGTACGACTTGATAAAGTCTCACAAAATGAACATACCCGTGTCATCGGTATGTACATTAAGAAATGGAATCTTTCTGGAACCCCAGATATTCTCACGCTTCTTTCAGGCATGACCCTTACTTCGGGATTCTAACACTTAGTGTTAGATTTTTCCTGTCTTTAAACTTTATGTAATTAGAAACATACACCATGAACTCTTTTGTGTCTGGTTTCCGTTGTTCAGCATTATGTTTGGGAGACGTATCTATACTGCTGACGTGCAGGCCGTCTTCCATTCTATGAACATACCCAGTTTTATTACCAGCCGCAGGAGCCTCAGAAGCACACATCTGCTGGATGGTCTGGGGGTCCATGGATCTAGGCTGGTCGCTCTGTTCTATGTTGCCTCCCATCCTCCTCCTGCGACCAGTAAGCTAGCGGGCCTGGCTGTTATCCTTCTCCTGGCATCCACGGAGCACAAGTGGAGAAATTCACTCATGTTACATCTGTTCCCATTCCCTTGGCCGAGTACACTTGTCCCTTGGACAAGACCGAGTAGGTTTTTCAATGTTGTCTTTAGTGTTTATTTCTTAAATATGTTGCATGCTCTGATTCCCCTTTGATGTCTTGCCTTTCAATTTAATTTAGCAGCAAATTGAGGCTCCTGGGTGGCTCAGTGGTTGAGCGTCTGCCTTCGGCTTAAGTCGTGATCCCGGTCCAAGGATCGAGTCCACATCGAGCTCCTCCCTCTGCCCATGTCTCTGCCTCTTTCTCTGTGTCTCTCATGAATAAATAAAGTCTTTTAAAAAAAAAAAAGGGCCCCTAAAAAGTTAAGGCGATGAGAAAGTGAGCAAGGGGACCCACTTGTATCAGACCTGTTGCACGGGGCTCTTTCAGGGGCCAAGAATAGAGGCTTAGGCCAACTCAGATGGGGGGTTTGTTAAGGGGCTACGTGGGAAGCTGTCTCTACAGCCATGCCGTCATCTCGTCCAGTGGCTTGGCTAGCTTACCCCTCACACAACTCATTTTACAGACTTTGCTTATAGGGCGTTGGTGCTCTAAGTTGTGGCTCGAAGTCTCACACCTTCAGAAAAGGCTCCTCCTTGTAGGCCAGTTTGTCTCCAGCTGGCTGGAAGCAGTTATTTGGCCTTGGTGCTGTTGGCCAGAGTCAGCCGCTTCGTGGAACCTGGAGCCTGGTCCAAGCAGCCGTGCCCAGGGCTGGTCCTCCGGAGCAAGGTGTAGAGACCATACGTCGGAAGGGCCTGTGATTGCCTTGCTCGGGAGGGGATGGCACAACGTGCAAGCATCTTGAGATGTCACAGCCGGAGCAGTGTATGTGGAGTCTAAAAAACAACGTGTGGCCGAGTTCTCTAACCAGAACACCGCCTCCTCTCTTCCCAGTCAGTATTCCCTGTTCATTCAGAATGGTTAGGAGGGCCGCTAGCCTAATCTATAAAGCCTTGCACAGGGTCGGTCACCATGCACGGCCTCGGGTTTCATCCAGCTAGGCTGTTCCAGACTCCCTGAGTAGGTGCTGCGGTGGGGGATGTCTGCAGCCGTGCACAACGGGAGAATTAGGATGTTGCTCATACGTGTTACTGCTGGGTGAGACGTGAGGCCGGTTGCTATTTCCTTTCATGGTTTTTACCTTCAGGAGCTAGGATAGGTCTCAGGAGCTCAGGGAAAGAGTGGGAACATGGCCTTGCCCGTGAACTTGATTCCGTGGAATGCTCCTAATTTTTTTTTCTTAAGATTTTATTTATTTATTTGAGAGAGAAAGAAAGAAAGCGAAAGCATGAGCTGGGGGGAGGCAGAGGGAGAAGGAGAAGCTGAGCAGGGAGCCCGATGCAGGGCTCGATCCCAGGACCCTGAGATCCTGACCTGAGCTAAAGGCAGACACTTAACTCACTGAGCCACCAGGTGCCCCAGAACGCTTCTGATTTTTAAGAGACTTTACCCTCCTTTGGAATTTTGAGAAGGAAAAGAGGATGGAGCAATTTGAAATTACTTAGCCTAGCCCTGACCTCTGCTTTTTACCAGGGCCACGGGACAGAATGCCTCTCCTCCTCACAGATGAATCACGGACCCAGGGTTGGTTCTCCAGCCACAGGGGAATGCTCTTATGTGTCATCTACTTGGCTTTGCAGCCAGCAGCCTGGGGCACATGACTCTGGTTACAGTTCATGACCGAACAAGGCCTCAAAAGTAATAACACTAAAACCCAACACTCCTACGGTCGTCACAGTGTGCCGGGTAGTGTTCCCAGTGCTTTATGTGGGTGCTCATGTACCCTGTCAGCCCCCGATGAGACAGCTACTGTTACTTGCCGTGTCCTGTTTCTACCGTAGGGGGCCAGAACAAGCTCATCTTCAAACCAGATCTCACCCTGGAAGAAGTGGCGGCGAAAAATCCCCAAGTGCACAGAGGTCGCTATCACCCTGAGGAATGTAAGGCTTTGCAGCGGGTCGCCATCCTCATTCCTCACCGGAACAGAGAGAGACACCTGATGTACCTGCTAGAGCACCTTCACCCCTTCTTGCAGAGGCAGCAGCTGGACTATGGCATCTACATCATCCATCAGGTGAGGCTGGGCCTCTGCCCGCCTGGTCCTCCTCTCTCTGGGATGCGAGGGGGGGACATGGCCACTGTGTGTCCTGGGTAAAGGGAGCATCAGACTCATCAAAGAAAAGGGCTCCTGCCTCATTGATCCATGAAAGGAGTAAAGGAAATTCTTGCCTCCGAGTGTAGAATAATCAGACTAAGTGTGCCCCTTAAATGAACCTCTGGAGGAAGTCTGTTTAGTTTTGTTTTTGTTTTCTGTGTCTAAGCCCTTCCGTGGTAGCCTATGACCACCCAGAGATTTTCCCCAGAGATTCACCGTATATTCCCTCCCGCCTTTGCTGTACATGACACAATGAGATGTTGGAATAATTGTTTTTCATTATTGAGCGTGGCTGTTCGGTGGGGATCTGGGCAGAGGATGCGACCGGTTACTGTGTTAACAGATATGGAGTTCTAGGACTGTCTCCGTCTTTCTGCTTATAACTTTTATTATGTAAAACAGATTATATTTAATTTTCCCTTTCTCGACTCCCTTATTTGGCTTCCAGAAGCATGATTCAGTAGGAACACAGTGGTGTGAAGCTTAGGCTGTTTTTGAAGGATTTAGCTCCAAGTAGAGAGGCTGATGAAGATGACTGTATTTGGTATTAATGTTTACTGAGAGAAAGATAAGGCATCAGCTTAAATATCCATGTCTCGCTTTCCCACATTGTCCCAGACCACCCAAATAATTCCCCCTCAAGTCCTTACAAGTGCCAACAATGCAAGCAAAATCATTCACTACATACTTAATACCGTGCTTAATACTACATGCTTTTATAACTGGTAGTATTTGTTTTAGGAAAACTGGACAAATCAGAGGATGCAGTCCTGCAGTGTATACTTTAAAATAAATGGGAGCTCGTGAAATCAATGTGCATATATAGTATGCCCATTTTTTAGGATTTGAAACAAAATTTTACTATTACTGGCTTATAATTTTTTGTAAAGGTTTTATCAACTTATTTTTTTGAGAGAGACACAGCGCATGCCGGTGGGGGTAGGTGCAGAACTGAAGGGAAAGAATCTCCAGCAGACTGCGAGCTGAGAATGGAGCCCGACCTGGGGCTCGATCTCAGGACCCTGAGATTACGACTTGCACCAAAACCAAGAGTTAGATGTTTAACTGACGGAGCCACCCAGACACCCCTATAATTCTTTTTCTTTTCTCTCTTTTTTAAGAGATTTTAATTTTTTCATGAGAGACACAGAGGCAGAGACATAGGCAGAGGGAGAAGCAGGCTCCCCAGGGGAGCCCGATGTGGGACTTGATCCCAGGACCTCGGGATCACAACCTGAACTGAAGGCAGCTGCTCAACTGCTGAGCCACCCAGGTGTCCTTATTTTTCTTTTTAAATGTTATTTAAGAATGGTGGTAATTGGTAATCCCTCTGCCTATGTCTTTGCCTCTCTCTCTGTCTCATGAATAAATAAAATCTTTAAAAAAGAAAAAAAATGGTGCTAATCATTCTCAGTTCTTACTCAGGACAGCGGCCCCCAATGTACAGTGTATTTATTTGAGACTAGAAAAATATGTCTGCTTGGTATTAGTCTTTTCAGGAAAATACCGTGGTAACTTTTGAGAACTGCCTGTATTTTCTTTATGATAAATTGTTTTTTTTTTTGATAAACTGTTTATTAAACGGGAATTTATTCTTAAGGATTATGATCCAAACAGCTATGAAAAAATTCTGTAAAATTTTTCTGATGCTATAGCTTTATTCATATTATTGTTTGAATTGTGTTCTCTTCTTAGCCAAGTGATGAATCCCTTCTATAAGGTGACTATGAGGATTACCTTCTTTTTTTTTTTTTTTAAGATTTTATTTATTTGAGAGAGAGGGTGAGTGCAAGTGGTGGGAGGGCAGGGAACGGGAGCAGAGAGAGAGGGGCAAGCAGGCTCAATGTGGGGCCTGGTCCTACAACCCTGAGATCATGCGCTGAGCCAAAATCAAGAGTCCCACGCTCAACTGACTGAGCAACCCAGGTGCCCCAAGGATCACCTTCTGCCATTAAGGATTAAAACAGGATTCTCTTGCAGTGATTCTGAGAAACTTCTAGGTAGCTCTGGAATATTAGCAATAACCTCTGTTTATGGGTCCAGGTTTCTTGGTCTTCTCTGGTAAACAGTGTTTCTTGGAAGCTTAGTGTAAATTTGTTACTTATGGTAAGATTGGGATCAGCTGGAAGTCAGACAGTAAAGCAGTGATACTAATTGGCGTGGCGGGTGTATAAAAAAGGTTTATAGTTGTACATGGGACAGAGAAATGGGTGTGATCGGCAGTAGCTAGCCCAGAATCAGGCGTTGGCACACACTTTGCACGTGTGCCTTCCAGAAGGCCCAGTGACTTTGGAGTTTCAGCCCTTCTGAAGAGGGGCTGAACAACCCTCATGCTTTTTTTTTTTTTTTTTTAAGATTTTATTTATTTATTCATGAGAGAGACACAGAGAGAGAGGCAGAGACACAGGCAGAGGGAGAAGTAGGCTTCATGTGGGTAGCCCAATATGGGACTCGATCCTGGGTCTCCAGGATCACACCCTGGGCTGAAGGCAGGCACTAAACCTCTGAGCCCCCCAGGCATCCCCACTCATGCTTTTAAAGAAATTTTTTTTTTAAGAAATTTTTAGAGTTATTTTTAAAAAGATTTATTTATTTATTAGAGAGAGAGAGAGAGAGAGAGAGAGAACACGGAAAGGGAGAAGCAGACTCCCCACTGAGCAGGAAGCCTGTTGTGAGGTTCGATCCCAGGACCCAGAGATTATGACCTGAGCCAAAGGCAGCCACTGAAGTGACTGAGCCACCCAGGTGCCCTGAGTTATTTTTATTTGTAATTTAAAAGTATGATCTTTTAAAAAAATTGTGATGTATACTTAAAATTTAGTATCTTAATTTTTTTTTTTTTAAATCAAACCATTTTATTGCAGAGCTTCAGGGGCAAGGTCGATGGGCTGGGAGGACAAGGAGATCTGATGTTCTCAGCCTTGCCAGGATCTCCCCAGGTTCACAGTCATAAAAGTGCATCATAACTATTGTTAAGTTTTCGGTTCAGTAGTGTGAAGTACATTCACATTGTCGTGTAACCAGTCTCTAGAAATTTCTCAGCTTGCAAAACTGAAACTCTATAGCCATTAAGCCACAGCTCTCCATTTCAAGGCATGTTTGTAACGTTTGGAATACAAGTCTATATGAAAACACACAAAAACCCAAATGGTCTTTTATTGTTCCTGCGTCTTCTCTGTCAGACCTTCCTGTACCAAGTATATTGTTGGGCTTTGGGAAGAATAATTCCAGCTCCTGCCTCTGAGCTGAAGAGGGGCACCCACCTTGAGAAATCTTATCTCTGCAACTTTTCAAGTTTTAATTTCTCTATCTATAGGCTGGAACTAAGAAGTTCAATCGAGCCAAACTCTTGAATGTGGGCTATCTAGAAGCTCTCAAGGATGAAAACTGGGACTGCTTTATATTCCACGATGTGGACCTGGTGCCCGAGAACGACTTGAACCTCTATAAGTGTGAGGAGCAGCCCAAGCATCTGGTGGTTGGCAGGAACAGCACCGGGTACAGGTGGGTGCTAAGGCAGCTCTGCTCATGGCTTGCTTAGGCTGAGAAGCTCGCCCTGTTGTCATCAAGGCTGTGCGGGGCATGGTGAACAGACTGTCGCAGAAAAATGAAGAAAAGGAAGAATGATCCATGACACATCACTTAAGTTCAAAACAGGAATGATAGCAGTCTTGGCAGAGGATGAAAGACAAAAGGGAAAGAACAGGAAGGGTAAAGTGATCCAAGCATTGCGAATGACAGCCAGCCCCACCCACGGTGCCCCTAGGGTGCCCCTTACTTTTGCCAGTAAGTCCACATTGAGTAGAACACTTCCAAGGCACTGGCCTGAATCCCAGAGTCTGGGCTGTTCCAGTTGTGTAGGTTTCTCCCTTTGGACGGTAAGGGATTCCCAAGAGTAACACTGAGGTGATTTTTGCCCTCGGTACTGACTTCAAACCCAATCCCTGTGTAAACTGTGGAATATAAGCAGATACCTAGAATAAGCTACAACGGGTGAGCATACAAGGTCTCTAAGAAACACCTGCCGAGGGGTGTAAAGCTCTTCCCTGGGGCACGTGGCTCCTTCATCTTGTGCCACAATGGGAGCTTCACAGCAGAGTTCCAAGACGTGGAAGCAAGAGAGAGCATGGCATGCTTTTGAGGGGAAATGCAGGTAGTTCATTAGTGCTCAGGAAGGAGTGTCTGGAATGGTGGAGGGAGGAGAGGCAAGAGATGACGGCAGGCAGGGGCCAGACCATGCACCTCGTTCATTCAGCTAAAGGATTCGGATTTCCTAGGGAAGGGACTGAGGGGCGTCTGGCACCCCAATATAGCTGAAGGGTGCTAGGAGGAGCTCAGTGCGGCTGGCCTTTGCTGTGCTGGGCAGAGCAAGACGGAAGGGGAGAAGCTGAGACTGGAGATGCTGCGCTCCTGAGTTGGGGTGAGGTGGGCCCCGGGGGCAGGGGAGGGATCTGGAAGGGAACCGTCCTTTGGGGAATTTTATCATAATCCTTACCTGAAGGTCTTGCTTTCTGGTCTCCTTGAGCCACCTCTGCATGGAAGAAAGCAGCGTGTCATGTCAGGGTACCTTGGTATTTTCAGAAACACGTCACTGTCTACGTAAAATTAATGAGATATCCCCATGTCCAACAGAGAATACCTGTACTTTGGACCCTTCCATAGATAACTCTCCGTGGCCCAGTTCTTTGTGAACACCTGTGATGAGAAATTACAACCACGCAGGATTGGTTTTATTGCTGTTTGTTTTTTGGAGAGCAGATACATGTTGTTTAAGGCCTTTTGGGGGGGGGATTCTAGATTTTTCTTTTTTTAATTCAGCTGGATCACAAGGAACTGAGTTCTTGGGCTTTCCTGCTGGAAATTAATTTTAAGTAAAACTTCAGTGCCGCAATCAGGAATTTCATCAGATGCTGCTCACTCTAAAAACAGCCCCTGTATGGATCTTAATGTTTTGATTTGCTATTGTCACTGGCCAGACGTTTCTTTTGTAATCAGATATCAGAAAGCCTTTGTCTTCTTTCAGTAACTGGCAGGGTTTTCTTAATATGAATCAGATGATTGAATGTGTCTCCTCTTTTGATCTGGATGTAAGGAGCTTTGAGCCAAATCCATGGCCTTCTTTTATTAAAGCTGAAAAGAGTCTTTCTTGTAGATCAGAGATCTAATATATTTCCTATTTTAATCTTTTTAAAAATCCTCTAAGTTTCCCTCTGGTTCTGGTTGTTTGTCATTTATATCTTTCTACTTTATTGTATGTGTCTGTGTAAACATACATCTTTTGTGTCCCAAGTAATGTAGGAGTTGCCCTCATCCCTGTCCCCTGCTTCGTACCTTTGCTACTTTGGGCAAAATCCCTCTAATCGTGCGCAGGAGGGCAGGTGGGCTTGCAGGCACCTAAGGGTCTGCTCCCTGCTGGCAATGATGTCTCACTGTGTCCCAGAGCTTGAAATGCACATGCTTTACTCCTTGTTACTGCAGCCCCATGGATGTGTTGAAGTGCTGGAAAAGTCTTCACACACATGCAGAGGGAAGAACTTCAAGTAACCTGCCCCAACTGTCTCAGACTCTGATGAGGCCCGAAATAAGTCTTATTTGTCTCACTGACTGGATCAGTGATGAAGCCCTGGACCAGCCTGTGGCAAGTTTTACTGCCAAGAGTTCTTTTGGCACCTAACTACTTTCCGTAAGGACATTCCTGGCCACTGGATACTATAAGGGTCTTACAGCCCTTTAAAAATAAATAAAACTGTTCCAGGGCCATTTAACTGGTTATGCTTTTCCCAGTGAGAAGAAAAACCAAAAGCAGAGATCAACAAACACGTAGACAGTTGCCATCTAAGAAGCAGCTGAGAAACTGAGAGCTCCTCAACCCTTTTTCCTGGCTGGTGTCCACTGCACCTCCCACTGCGGCCACACTGCTCTCCAGGTGATCCCGGACAGCCCCATTGCCTCTCTGTTCACCTTTCCTCGTGGAGTTCTGGCCACCAGGGGTTCCCCCAGGTTCCTACCTATCTGAATCCTCCCAGGCCCACCTGCCCCTGATGCATGGCATCTCCTTCCTCAAACCCTGATGATGTTCCCATCTTGTGTTACTTTCCCTGGTTCTGTGTCCAGCTCACTGTCTTGCACTCAGCAGACGGCGGTTCCCTGAGATCACGGCCAAATCGGTAATGCTGGTTCTCTCCTGCTGACCCATTGCTGTGAGTGGCAGGTTGCACCTGGGCTGTGGTGCCACTCAGCGTCCTGATGATGAAGCTGCTGGTCTGCAGGACCTCAGGAAGGCCTTCCCAGTCAGAGCCCAGCAGCACGGCAACAAGTCACAGCAGCAGGTGTCTTGGCCAGTGACAGCTCCTTCCGAGCTCTTCATTCCTTTTATTTCTTTTAAGTCGTCATACCATTTTTCTAGAATTTTAGGTTGAGGGGTCGCAAGTAAATCTGTGGGTTAAGCAGGGCCTCCCCATGTATAGTCAGGACAGAGAAATGAACAGCTGAACTACAGATTGGCCTTTGGGACTCCCCACCTATTAGATACATGTTTGTTGGTCTTTCCATCTGGTTTCTCCTATCTAGAAAAGCAGAAATATTTAATTGCTCCTGGGACAATTTCTTCCTTCCTCCCTTTCCCTTTCCCTTTCCCTTTCCCTTTCCCTTTCCCTTTCCCTTTCCCTTTCCCTTTCCCTTTCCCTTCCCTTTCCCTTCCCTTCCCTTCCCTTCCCTTTCCCTTTCCCTTTCCCTTTCCCTTTCCCTTTCCCTTTCCCTTTCCCTTCCCTTTCCCTTCCCTTCCCTTCCCTTCCCTTCCCTTCCCTTCCCTTCCCTTCCCTTCCCTTCCCTTCCCTTTCCCTTCCCTTTCCCTTTCCCTTTCCCTTTCCCTCTTCCCTTCCCTTCCCTTCCCTTCCCTTCCCTACCCTTCCCTTCCCTTCCCTTCCCTTCCCTTCCCTTTCTTTCCTTTCTTCTTTCTTGTTTATCTATTTGAGAGAAAGCATACAAGCAGGGGGAGGGAGAGGGACAAGCAGACTCCCTGCTGAGTAGAACCCCCTTGATGGGGGTGGGGGGGCTCAGTCTGAGGACCCTGAGATCATGACCCGAGCTGAAGACAGCCCCAGCCCCTTAGCCATTTAACCGACTGAGCCACCCAGGGGCGCTGGTCTTGGAGCACGTTGAACTGAGGTTAAAGTTAGAAATCTTCCATATGTTTTACCTTTTCATTGAGTAACATCCAAGTTATAAAGCTGCCTTCATTTGCATTTCTGAATCGTTACAGAGTTATATTCAAGGGTTGTCTTTATTTCTCTTTTTTGCTAATTTGTCTGCCAATAATCCATTAGAGTCCTAAATGACTGGGACTCCGACGTGCCTCTTGATCTCTTCCCATTCTCCCTTTTCTTCTCGGCATCCGCACAGCTCCACCCTCTGCAACCTCTCACCTACTCTGGTGTCTTTAGGCGATCTCTCCTGCTTCTATGTCATCAACCACCACCTCTTGACATCTTAGTTCCCAAGCCATGTCTGTGGCCACTCTTCTCTTTTGAACTCGGATCCAATATCCTTTTGCCCATGAGCAAAAGCACCAGGGTATCTCAAATGCAGCTTACCCAAAACACACTATTGTTTTCCTCTTATTGTTCTGTATACTCTGTTTTTGTTGAAAGACTATCCTCTGTCTTGTTGCCCAAGCCAGAAACCTCAAGATTGCTGAGGTGTGTTGGCTTCTTCGGGACACAGACTCAGAGATGGAACTTTGCGTGCACAGAAGTGGAGTTTGCACACGAAGTGTGTTCAGGAGCTGTCTTGTCTCTCCCCTACCCGGTCAAAACAAGTTAAAGTAAAAATCCAGTGTATTCATCAGGACATTCATTCGTGCTGAACCAGCCTCAGGATCCTTCCTGACCCAGTGCCCTTGGCAGCCGTCACTGCTCACTGGATTGGCACGTGAGATGAAATCTGTCCTTCAGATCTGATGTTTCAGCACACGTTTATAGGTTCCTCTGTAGACCTCTGCACACAAACATTCACAACAACAGGTGCATAGCCCTTTGCTTAGTGAGCGGATGTGAGCACTTTTCCAGACAGAGGAAAGAAGGGCCGACAGAGAGGACCCGGAACATTGGGAGGTGGAGGTCAAGCAGGAGTGGATGGATGAAAGTGCGTGGTCCTCAGTGTTCCTAGAATGCCGGCCCCGAAATGAGGGACATCCGAAGAGTGTATGGAGAACCGAAATGGCCTTGTGCTGATGGTACCTTTTCTCTCCTCTCTTTTGCTCCAGGTTACGATACAGCGGATATTTTGGGGGTGTCACTGCCCTCAGCAGAGAGCAATTTTTCAAGGTGAATGGATTCTCTAACAACTACTGGGGATGGGGAGGCGAAGACGATGACCTCAGACTCAGGTGAACAACAGGGACAGGTCCCCTTCACGGGGCTCTGCTATCATTGGTGGCTCTAGAAACCTGTGTTTATGGATAGTTCCTATCGATGCCAGTCCAACAGGTCATGAGGCCACAGATCAGGCTTAGGTAGGGGTGGGGGTGGGAGCAGGGCAGCCCAAATTGCTATTTGCCACTGGCAGTTCAGAAATGATGGAGGGTGCTTTGTTTCTGGCTCATGGATGTTGAGGGACCAGAAGTGTTGATGGAGGTTTCTCTACTTGCTGGAGGGTATCACTTACTGAGACAGGGGCCCAAACTCTGCAAAAATGCTATTTAAGGAAAGGGGCCAGAGAGTCTGTTGTGAACCTGTGTTTTTTCTCAGACCCAAGGGAATCCTGGCAGAGTTTTCAGTTTCCAGAGCAGAGAGTGTCAACAGCCTCTGAGGAGTGGCACCCCCAGGATCAGGCCAAGGTGTCCTTTCATGCTTATGCCTTAGCTAGCCCCACACACTGGGAGCCAGGCCAGACCCTGGGCTCCTGGCATCACCCTTAGATTTTCTTGGATTGCTTTCTGCTCTGAGGGGCCCAAAGGGAACATGTCTGGCCTCTTTTCTCAGCTCACCACCCCCCTGCGCCCAAAGCTTGGGTTTTGTGACCAGATAGTTATGGGTATCCCTAGCTCCCCAAAGCAAGTGTTCAAGAGCCTGGGCCTAGTCATCTTTAGACTTCTAATAACAAGACCATTGGGGCTATGAGCAGACTCCCTTTCCTCCTACTGTTACCTCTTCGAAAGGACATTTCCTAGCGAGGGTTCTGAATGAATAGATCCATGACTACCAGAAATTCTGCATCACTTTTTTAGGAGCCAGGGCTCCATGTTGGTCTTGTTCCCATGTCTAGGCTGGGAGTCTCTGCAATGTTTCTGCGAAGATAGAATGGATTCCCCCCACCAAAGGCTCCATAGGAATAGTCGTAGTGATGGGCAACAGCACTTTATGGCCTAGCCCATCAGCAGCCTGTGTGGCCTTGGCTTATGAGGTAGACAGAGGGTACCTGATAGACTTCAGGGCAAGAGTAGCAAGGACTAGAGATAAACAGTATCCGTTATCTTCCCCAAATCCATTTCACTGAGGGGGTGATTAATAGAATTTTCACATATCATATAACTTCACTTCTTGATCCTCCCTCAGCTGCAAGTAGAGGGAAGACCCCAGTTTTGCTTTCATTTGAGAAAAACATCATAACCTCCACAGTGGTTCTTGACCAATGCTATGACTAAACCACTGACTTGAACATAAAAACTGGCTATGATTTATTTACTGAACATTAAGTTAATCACCTGGGCAACAGGCACCACCTTTATTTGCACTTCTATATTGCATTACTATTTACAAAGCGTGTGGACTGTTTCACTCGGACCCTGTCAAATCAACTCTGTAACACTACTGCCGTTTTACAAAGAAGAAATCGAGTCCTGGAATGATGAACTGACTTGCCAAGATTGTAAATAACAAAGTGTGCATTTATATCTGGGTTTGTGGGCTTTTAAGCGTGGGATCTTAATCGGTCATTACTTTCTTTGTTGAAAAAAAGGAAACACTAAGTAAATTGGGCACCTGAAAAGCCTTAATTCTCCCATGCGTCATGATGTTTTGAAATAATCAGAATGAGTACTTTCTCAGGTGTTTTCGAAAATGACAAACTATAAATCGACACATCTCCTTTGTACCCCAGTAATATTCAATGTGGTTCTTCTATGGACTTACTGCCTGAGGCCTAACATTATTATAAGAAGATTCTTTTTTTTTAATATTCTAATAATCAGACTCTGTGAGACTGTGCATAAGTGTAAATTTTTTGCAAATTATTATTATTATTTTTAAGAACCTGGTGGTAGATAAGTAGGATAAAACATTTCTGTTATTCTTCTAGGGTTGAACTTCATAGAATGAAAATAATCCGGCCAATGCCTGAAGTGGGTAAATACACAATGATTTTCCACACCAGAGACCGAGGCAATGAGGTGAATATAGAACGGTGAGTCTTGGATTCACATGCCTGGCAGGAGGCACCTACGTATCTCTTTTGTCGAAGGACTGCTGAATTTGATCAGATGAGACAGTTTATTTTGCTCAGAACTTTTTGTTTTTTGGTCATTTTCAAACAAACACAAAAGTAGAGGGAATGGTATATTGAACCCTCACATACCACGTACCTAGCTTCAGCAGTTACTAACTCTGTCCTCTCTTTTTTTCCCTCACTTTTTTCTTCTCCTCTAGTAGATTTTTGGAAGCAAATCAGATATCACAGCATTTTTATGTGTAGGTTTGCTTAAATATGAGAAGTCTTAAAGAAAGAACCACTACACCATTATCATACCTAAAACAAAATTAACAATACTTACTTAATATCATCAAATATCCAGTTGTGTTTGGATTTCCCTAATTATCAAATACACACACACACACACACACACACACACACACACAAGTGTGCAAGAGCCTGGGGCTGGTCTCTTCAGACTTCTACTAACAAGGCCTTTTGGGCTATAATATATATATATATATTTTTTTCCCTCCCCTTAATAGTTGATTTATTCAGATCAGAGGATCTAGACAGTGTCTACACATTGCATTTGGATATTTGGATGAGCTCTCTGAAATCTCTTAATCTGCAGATTACCTTACCTCTCCCCTACTTTTTTTTCCCCTTATGTTGTATTTGTTGAACAAACCAGTTCATTTGTCTGATGGAATTTCCTACCTTGTGGGTTTTGTGAATTGCCTTCTGGTGGAATAACTTCATATGTGCCTCTGACCTCTGCATTCCCTTGTAAACTGGGGGTTAGATCTGGATACTTGGACGGATTCCAGTACTATTTGGGGACAAGAACACCTTACCAATGGTGCCACGTAGCTCCTCTTGTATCACAACGGGAAGACGTGATGTCTGGTCGGGTCTTGGTGATGCCAGCATTGATCTGTGGGTTTAGGCGTTCTCAGCCCCATCCAGGTCCCCCATCAGTCTTTCACCGATGATTTTAGCAGCCATTGGTGCTCATTTAATGAATTTATTAGTCAATTAGGGATCGCAGAATTTTTTTTTAAGATTTTATTTATTTATTCATGAGAGACAGACAGAGAGAGAGAGAGAGAGAGGCAAAGACACAGGCAGAGGAAGAAGCGGGCTCCATGCAGGGAGCCCGACGTGGGACTCGATCCCGGGACCCCAGGATCAGGCCATGGGCAGAAGGTGGCGCTACACCGCTGAGCCACCCGGGCTGCCCGGGATCGCAAAATTCTGGTACTGTCAGGCGTTCTGCATTTATTAGACAGGTTTTTCTGTAAGGAAGGACTTGCCTCTTCAGCTATTTGAGTAGCCGAGGTATGGTTGTCAGAGAAAAAAAGCCAGAATAAAGGGAAAGGATCAGTAGTGACTTTTCATTTTTCAAAATGGTGAGTTGATGCCTCCTCACATCCTTCCAGTTCATACTCTTTTCAGTGCTCAGTTGTCCCATCTTTGGCAGGTGGCATCTTCTTCAAGCTGATCCCGAGCCCTCGGACATAACTGTACTAGTTTTGAGAGCTCGCCTCTCTGGGCTCCTGCACGATGCGCTGTGCTAGGCTCGTCTTGTACTTCTCTTGCCCCGGGAATTGGCCCTTTCACCAAAGAATCCGGGCCGATAAGCCAGTTCTTTGGGGGGCAGTGGCTGCAGAATCTACAATCCTTTATTCTGATTTTTTTCTTCTAGACTTTAAAACCTTATTAAAACTCCTTTATTCCTTTTGTTGGACCCTACATTTTAAAACAATATTAAAATATTATAGGGCTTTGTTACAGTTTATATTTTAAAACAATATTAAAAGGCTTTTAGCCCTTTTGTTAGAATCTGTGACTTTAACAAAATTTGTTTTCTTTTTTTTAAGTCTTTTTTTTTTTTAAGACTATTTATTTATTCATGAGAGACACAGAGGCAGACACACAGGCAGAGGGAGAAGCAGGCTCCCTGCGGGGAGCCCGATGTGGGACTTGATCCCGGGACCTGGGATCACACCCTGAGCCAAAGGCAGGTGCTCAACCGCTGAGCCACCCAGGTGTCCCACAACTTCTCTTTTCCATGTGTCTTTCCAGTCTTTGTCCATCGGGGTACACTTTTCTCTTTAAATTAAAAAATAATAAAAATTATGGAATAGATACAAAAGAATGCTTATAAATTGTATGAAAAGCCTGAAGGTTCTTGGAACCACGGGCAGTGGTAGTGTCCCCATCTGATTTGTGTTTCTGACCTGTGTACCCCTCCCCTACCCCAAGAGGTCATGCTTTCCTGAATTGTGATAATGACAGTTATTTCTGCTGCTTCTTTGCTGTTGTTTTCCCATAGGTGTGTATCCCTTTACAGAAGATGGCTTATTAGCTTTATATGTTTTCCAATTTTCTCTGAGTGAAATCATACTGTATTGATTTCCTCTTACCTTATTTAGTTCAGCACTGTATTTCTGATCCCCGTCCACATTGACACTGTAACCGAAATATATTGCTTTTCACCCCAAGTTCCTAGAGACCTATTTATTTATTTATTTATTTATTTATTTATTTATTTATTTATTTATTTTGTTTGTTTGTTTGTTTGTTTTTCCTAGAGACCAATTTAATTCACCACCTGTTCCACATCCCCACATCCCGGGGCCCCAGCCCTGCAATTGCTGCTGCTTCTTGAAACGCATCCTGCTACTTCAACATGTCTCTGCATCTTGCATAGGGTGGCGTCTCTGCCTGCGTGTCCTTTCCCTCACCTTTCTCCTCTTCTGAGCCTCAGTCACGTTTACTTTCTCTGAGCCCTCCCCGCCCAGACTCCCTCATGAAGTCAAGTGCCGCTTTATTCATCCTCCTCTACGTAGATTCTAACTTTGAGACTTAGGAAATAGAGGTACCTGCCCCTGCCTATGGATGGCAACCCGGGAGGATTCCTAGATCCACCCGAAGCTTAGCCGAGGACCTGTTAGCAGTTGATGGCACGGGTCACGTTGTATCAGTGTTGCCTGTGAGCCCTTCTGTCCTGTAGACTGGGTGCATTGACCCTTTTCATCATTGGTCCCCAGCTCTTAACATAGGGTCTGACATTCAGCCACATGGCTATTAGTGGTGTCCATTACTTTAGATTGGGAAAATTAACTTTTTGTAGTAGGAAACCCAGCAGGTGCAATAATTTACAAGGGTGCTTTTGTCAAATTTGGGGACAAGGCAAAAAGCAGTGGTAAAATATGTTATATTCTAGCATTACCATTGACGTTGTTCTTTTTATCTTTAGGATGAAGCTCTTACATCAGGTGTCACGAGTCTGGAGAACAGATGGGTTGACTAGCTGTATCTATAAATTACTCTCTGTGGATTATAATCCTTTGTATACCAACATCACAGTGGATTTCTGGTCTGGTGCATGACCCTGGATCTTCTGGTGACATTTCGGAAGAACTGAATATTTTACCGCAATAACTTTGGACTAGAGACTTTCCCTTGTAGTACACATTAAGAACTGGTTGCAGCTAATTACGGATCTGGATTTCTCCTTTTTGTATTTTGTTAGCAGAGCCCCAAGTAATACAGAATGTAAAACAGTTGTAGGAAGACCACTTTCTTGGTCGTTCTGCTCCTGAGGGTTGTTATTAAAGACTGTGGTACGCATACTCGAGGGGCTGAGTATGAAAGGACTACTCCAGGGATAACATGAAGGCTACGTGAAAAATGTGGATTGAAGGAGATTTAAGTTTGAAGTGATACACGATGGGATAAGACAGCCCATGGGAAATAGAACTGCTCAGTGTCCCAGAAAACTGCGGTTGTTCTCGTCTGAGGGAGAACGGTACAATGAAGTCTGTTACTTGTTTGTCCTGCATGGTCATCTGTGAAGAGGTGGGTCCCGGGTGAGAAGAAGGCCACGGAGGAGAGAAGAAAGGTGAAGAATCAGGATGCAGTGAACTTGGACAAACCTGGCCTCAGGGAGGCCCGTGTGGGCTGTGACCGCCGCTGCTGCTCTGTGGCCCGTGTCACCTGCCCAGACGTGCCTTCCAGCAACAGCCCACAGGGAACACGTTATCCTCTAGTTTTTGATGTATTTTTGTACAATGATTTTCTACATGCAGGATCTGCATCAGCAGTTTACAAATGACCTATTAGCTAGTGATATATCGAAAGTACCTCTGTAGTAAAATGTGAAAAAGCATGGGGTGCTCCTTGTTTTTTTACTGATGTTTGAGGCCTATTGATGTGTTCATTTCAGGACCCATAATCCTCAAGGGTTTAGAAACAAACAAATTGGACTGAACCCCCTCACGCCCTCTCCTCTTTATCCTTCTGTTCCTTTCTCCTGTTCTTCCTGTGTGCAGTCCCTTTCTCTAACCAGCTCTGGGCCCGTGGCAGGTGCCTCTGCATCTCACTTCCCAGGCAACTTCCCAGGCATGTTTTTTTTTTTTTAATTTTTTTATTATTTATTTATGATAGTCACACACAGAGAGAGAGAGGCAGAGACATAGGCAGAGGGAGAAGCAGGCTCCATGCACCGGGAGCCCAACGTGGGATTCGATCCCAGGTCTCCAGGATCGTGCCCTGGGCCAAAGGCAGGCGCCAAACCACTGTGCCACCCAGGGATCCCCCAACATCATGTTTTTGATCTGTTTATCCTCTTGTGCCCCACTCCTTTCCCACCACCAGTCCTGGGCGCGACAGGGTTGGACCCAGGGCACACCTGGTCACCAATAGGATAGGAAGGGGTAGAAGCCTGGGTTTGGAAGCCTTTGATTTGGGAGGAAGATGGGGCCATAGCCCAGAGTTGGGCAGTGTCAGTCGTCTGGGGGAGAAAGGGCCAGTACTGCTGAGCTTCTTGGGGTTTGGGCAGGGATGTGGGTGGATAATCTAAGGAAGGTAGTAGGAGAAGGATACTGGAATACAGAAATATTCAGAGATGGATACTTGGATAACGAAATTATATTTTGTTTGTATGGGTGACTGGACACATAATTAGATTTGGATGTTCTTAAGGAAGATTTGTGGTACTGTGCCCTAGGATCTCTCAATCCATCATTATTATATGACACTTTTAATTGTTAAACTTTAACATGAATGAATGCCAGCCAATGAGTGTAAATAATGTTCTTCCCAAAAGGGAGAAGGAGGGGAAGGCAGGCTTGGGGCTCCCAAGAAAGGCAGCAGTCACCTCCCAAGTGGGCAAGGAGAATTTGAAAGGAAAATACATTTTGTAGATGGAACAGGTTTACCTAGGACTGGCCTGGTTTACCTTTAACTCCCTAGGGACAAGTAAAAGCTGTGGGTTTTTCTTTTTTTCCTTTAGCAAGGAAGTAACAATGGTTTTCCATTTTCCCCCTCGCTCTTCTCTCTCTTTTCTGCAGCATCTTGAGCATTCTGCTTCAAATTCTCTTAATTATAATCTTGTACAGACTGAACTATTGTGATTGGCAACGGCCCATGCCAGAGGTCCCCAGTTTGGAGCTGTGGGTCCCTGGTCATGGTTGGGAGGGTAAAGGAAGAGAAACTGTGTGCAAGGAATTTGAGGATCCGTATTTGAGAGTTCAGTTTCTTGTTAAATGGAAACAGGGATCCCTGGGTGGCACAGCGGTTTAGCGCCTGCCTTTGGCCCAGGGCGTGATCCTGGAGAACCGGGATTGAATCCCACGTCGGGCTCCCGCTGCATGGAGCCTGCTTGTCCCTCTGCCTGTGTCTCTGCCTCTCTCTCTCTCTCTCTCTCTCTCTCTCTCTCTCTCTCTCTTTCTCTGTGACTATCATAAATAAATAAAAATTTTAAAAAGATTAAAGATTAAAAAAAATGGAAACAAAATACAGCAAACCATGTGGAAATTCCCCACGCTTTTTGAGCTACGAACAGGCATCTGCATTTTGGGGGCAAATGTTAGAAACCACTGCACCATGCCTATTACTGTGCTTCAGTTCATTCTTTCCACTAAGGTAACGTACAAGTCATATAAATGACTCATCGTGAAACTTCTCAGGGTGGAAGAGAATTTTTTAGGACCTTTGCTTATTGCTGTTGTCCTCCTGCTTCCTTTCACGGATGGGCAGAGGGGTTTGGCCTCAAAGGAGCCAAGTTTCCCCAATTCCTGCCCTATATGTTTTCATTGTCAACTGCTACAAAGAAGCTGAGCTTTCTTTTTTTCTTTTTTTTTTTTTTACGATAGTCATACAGAGAGAGAGAGAGAGGCAGAGACACAGGCAGAGGGAGAAGCAGGCTCCATGCACCGGGAGCCCGACGTGGGATTCGATCCCGGGTCTCCAGGATCGCGCCCTGGGCCAAAGGCAGGCGCCAAACTGCTGCGCCACCCAGGGATCCCGAGGCTGAGCTTTCTGAGCTTTGTAGATACGCTTCTAGTAATTGCTAAGGATTATATGAGCACGGTCTATCTGGACATCATAAGTATGTGAACGGTGTGCTATCTTAAATGCTTTTTTTTTTTTTAAAGATTTTATTTCTTTATTCATGAGAGACACAGAGAGAGAGGCAGAGACATAGGCAGAGGGAGAAGCAGGCTTCTTATGATGAGCCTGATGTGGGACTTGATCCCAGGACCCTGGGATCATGACCTGAGCAGAAGGCAGACGCTCAACCACTGAGCCACCAGGCGCCCCCCTTAAATGCTTTATTGATTTTATCTCACCTTGCCACTCAATTTTAGAGTGCTTTATGGTTTGTGATATTTTTACACACAATTTATTGGTCTGGTTGACTCTTGAGATAAGTAGAGTAGATAAGGAAGTAGAGGTTCTGAGCAGGTCGAGGACTTGCCTGTATCACAGCTAGTAGTTGGCAAAGTCAGGTCTTCTGATTTCAAGACCATTACAACATATTGCCATCACCTTGGCTTCTCTAATTTTTAAATTTTTTTGAGGGGGCTGGTTCTTTCCTTTTTAAAGGTAGTTTCCCTGAATTTAGATCTCTGTCCTAGCTCCTAGAGAAGTTTGGTATCTTCTGGGATCTTAAAAGTATGTTCCATTCTCATCTGGTCTTAGAACTTTTTTCCAGACTCCCTCCCTGGTTTTTCTGCCTTTAGCCCTTTCACTTCCACTCAAGCCCCTATTAGGTTTCCCCGAGTGGCCCCAAATGCTCCGTGGATGGACTCCCGGGAGAGATGAAAGATCTTTTCTGCTAGACTCAAAATGTCCACTTTCTCCAAGTTTTATACATATATACAGTTCTTGTCAAAAGCCATTAACACATCCTACAAGACGGAGCATATTTAGATGCATTTTAGAAATACTTTTTTTTTTTTTGCTAATCACATTCCTTATTTTAAGCCGATCCCTTAGTACCTTAGATATTTAAGCTGTTGCCACCTTCACAGGTGTTAAGTACTCTGAAGACCACCTTACACCTGCTGAGAGGGTCCAATAGGTCTCAGAGGTATTCACAAAGGAGTGATGAGATGTCCCACCCCAGGGAACAGGACTGTACAGGCAAAGGCCCTGTTGTTCCATGGATGACTGTTGAAAACTCAAAATTGGACCTTGTATATATGTGTATGTGTGTGTGTGCACGTATGTGTAAATTTGGGCCTTGGAAGAGAGGTTGGTGAAGCACGGGTCATAACAATAACTGAATGCTTTCTCTGTATTAGCCAAGTTGCCTGTGTATGTATGTATCTTTTTTTTTTTATTTAAACTTTCCGGGATCCCTGGGTGGCGCAGCGGTTTGGCGCCTGCCTCTGGCCCAGGGCGCGATCCTGGAGACCCGGGATCGAATCCCACGTTGGGCTCCTGGTGCATGGAGCCTGCTTCTCCCTCTGCCTGTGTCTCTGCCTCTCTCTCTCTCTCTCTGTGTGACTATCATAAATAAATAAATAAAAAATAAACTTTCCAATAGCCCTGTAGGTATGTATGTACAGCAAAGAAAAAACAGATTCAAGTAACTTACTGAAGTTGGTAAGAGGAGGAGATAAGTCTTGAACCCAAGTCTCTCTCCCATACCTTGTGTCCCCCCGCCCTGAATATCACATTGTCAGATGATGATATTTCTCTGGGAGGCCAGCCAGGGCAGAGATCTCATTTGTAGTGAGGACTCTAGAAATATACACAGAACATGAGACGTATCCATTAAAATCTTATCTTGATGACCCCAGTACATTCTTCTATGGCGTAGGAGTTGTGAAAAGCTATTACTCAGCTATTGTTTGAGGCCCAGTAAATTTGGACCAGTGTATTTGGTCATCAAGCTTGTAATAAATTGAACAATGTGACCTTAGTTGGGATGTTTCCAAGGATTCTGGGCCAAGCAGAGTTCTTCAGACTTAGAGTATAACTTCTTATTGGTGTCTCTTAGCCTGTTAACCATTCTGATGCACTTGACATCATATCTTACCGGACCCTCCCAGTCCTCTGTGAGGATAGTCTTGTTTTCCTGAAGCGGGTTCCAGGAGGCTAAGTAAATTGCCAAAGACATGCAGAGCTGGGATTTAGAGCCAGATATTTGGCTCTAAACCAACCAACAAATACACCAAGAGAGGAAATAGGGATGGACAGTTATTTGGAGAAAGCTATGCCCTTCAAAAACTCCTAGGAACACATCTGTAGTTAAGTAAGTTGGGATTATGACTCCCAGTGAGGGAGAAAACACCATAGGGAACCATGAAGTGCGTTAGGAAAAGGGAGTTGGAACCTATTACAGCATTTGGGTTTTGGTTGGGTCATTAAGGGGAGGGCCTAAGCAAACGGTGTGCTCTACCTTGGACATTTGTCAGAAAGGGGGGACAATTGTGTGTATACATTTTATTCATAGAATAGAGACTAGCAAGAGAAAAGAGCTGTAATTAGTAACCTTGTAGCAATCACTTACTTTAGTCAAAGGAGGGTATGTTTGGTATTTTGCAGGTGGCACGGTGACCTTGTATTTGTGCTTGGACAAAACTGGGAAGTGGACTTGTACTTTGCCTAATTTTGTGTGACCTTATCTGAGGTGGGGATTGTGTGAGATTACATCCGGTAGGACTGTTCACATCTACAGGCCTAGTTGTGAGTGCAGCCTAGTTTCTGAATGTCAGGGCTGCTCTTGTTTTCTTTTTCAGCAGGAACTCAGAGTAGAAGCCACTAGAAAGTAGGACATGATGGCACCCTTTCTCTTTAACCCCAAGATTTGGCTATTTGTCAAAGGTTGTGTGTGTGTGTGTGTGTGTGTGTGTGTGTGTGTGTGTGTATTGGGAGTTGAGAGTTGGCTGTGGGCAGGGTTGCTTGGAGGAGGGTTCTGGGAATTGCATTTATCAGAAATGTTGCCTTTTTCCAAGATGTTTGTGCATCTCCTCATCAGACGGGGCCACTCAAGCCTTCTAAAAATGTAACACATGAAAGCAAACTCTGTAGTGTACAACTAGCCTTTGCTGGGTCTTTTTTGATTCAGCCTCAGGCATAGAAGGTGATAAGGATCTGAGTGTGGTGAAGCAGAAAACACAAAGGAAAGGAAATATTAGATATAGGAGGAGAAAGACCCTAGTTCACTCGATAGAGATAAGAAAGTAGCTGAGTTTCCAGTTCCTCAGCCACAGCCTGCCTGTCACGGAGGGGTGGGGGTGGGTGGGGGGTTGAGAGGAGATTGGATTTTCAAACTCACAGGACCAGTGAGTTTCTCTTCTTTATCAGTAGCTGGGAAGCACCTCATCTGCTGCTTAGAATTGGAGCAATTTCTGTGTATTCAAACTCATGTAGGAGAAGTCCTAGAGCTTACAAACCCGAACAGTATGTTGGTTTTTTTAATTAAAAAATAATTTGGAAAAAAAATAATTTGGAAAAAAAATCTGGTGGGGGAAGATTTTATTATTATTATTATTATTTGATAGAGCACAAGCAGGGGGAGCAGCAGGCAGAGGGAGAGGGAGAGGCAGGCCCCACCAGGGGCTCCCAGCTCTGCTCCCGACACGGGGCTCCATCCCAGGACCCTGGGATCACGACCTGAGCAGAAGGCAGATGTTTAACCGACTGAGCCACGCAGGTGCCCCTCTTTCTAGAAAAGATTTATATATTTATTTTGGGGGGTGAGGAGGAAGAGGAAGAGAGAGCATCCCAAGCAGCCGCCCATCCCTCCGCTAAGCCCAAAGCCTAAAGGGACCGGCCCTCCGCTGAGCGCAGGCCAGGCTGATTCCAAGGCCTCCCACCCCCATCCCCATGGGATCTGAAACCAGGAGCCGGTCACCTAATGACCGAGCCACCCAGGTGCCCCTGAGCAGTAGGCCCTCTAACATTCCGTGTACACAGCCCGCCAGGAGCCTGAGGGGCAACCTGGGAGGAATCAGCCAACCAAGAGAGTGTGATGAGCCATCTGGCATTGCAACCAAGTAAAACCTGCCCCAGAGTCAGCCTGCCCCCTTTCTGGTGTTGGGTAGTAATTGTTCTTTGTGCACCTGACAAGCAGGCCCATGTTGGAGAAGTGGCAATTTCTCAAGATGGTTTTGTCTGGGTGAGTCGTGAGCCCAGCAACCTGCCAGCTCCCCGGAGCCAGCCATTCCTGCACTCCTTCCACAACCTGGTTTGCTGGGGCTGGATCTCACCCTGAACGGTGGTTTGAGTCCGGCTGTGAGCCCCACTTTCAGTCCCAGAGGCCAGAAGGAAGAAGGGGAAGGCTGGGCTTCCACGGAAAGTGGAGACGGATGGAAGTAGGACCTGCGTGGAGTGGAAATTGCCCTGAGGTTAAACTCAAGACCGCCGGGGCAGAAGGCACAGGAGTGGTGAACGGCAGGCCTGGGCTTGTCTCGGCTGAAAGCTGTTTGCCCCAAGGGTCGGTGACCTAGTGGGTACCTGGGTTTGGGGCCTTATTTGGGTTTCAGAGGAATAAAACCTGTGAAATTTGCACCTTCTCTCAAGGTAAGGCTGAGGTCCCAGATAGGAAGATAGCTGCAGAGGGGGCAAGGGGCACTAACTGCCTGTTCTCTTTCAAGTTACTACTTGGTAGAGAAGGCAGGAGGTAAGATTTAGAGAGCAGCAGGGGGGGCATCTGGCCCCATGATAACTCTTTCCTGCTCCCACTGCTGCCTTGAATTCCACCAACCAGAGATCAGTTTTCAATTATCCATGAAAAATCCACAGAGAAGATTAAGAGAGTGGAAACTAGTTGCCACTCACCCCTTAGTATAAATTAGTCTGCACAAAGCCTTTCCCTTAACCTAGCTGAGATCAAATCACAAGGAGAATGGACTCGTGTGGGTAGATTTGTGGAGCACTCAGGAAACTGGGGTGGTGGTGGGGAGTCAGGAGAGGATCTGGGGGCAGAATTTGCTCAGCCAGCAGAGCCCTTGAGGCACTGGAAAACCTGGTTAGCAGTGGAAGAAAAAGGCATCAGAACACATGGGAGAGGCATTTCAAAGCTTTGTCCAGAGTAAGCTCCTTCCCTCTCTTTCTCTCTTCTAGAAGACCTTGGAGAGAACCTTCTCCATTAAGTGCAGGTGTCATTTATCCTGACACCCCAAGCGCTCTCCTGGGGACAAAGAGGGGCAACGGAGGAGCAAGCTGGTTAAGTGTCAGGACAGGAGCCTTTGGCCCCCTATTCTGGGATTTAGGGACCGGCTGTGATGCCCCAGCTTTACCAGCAGGTGCATGGCAGGGGTGCGCCCACACCCCACTCCTCCCTTGGGCCTCCCTACACCCGGGCTCAGCCTAACTCCCCAGAACCTGGCCAGGGTGTGGGATTGGGGCACTCCTTGTGACTGAGTTGGCTGTGAGTAGGACCCTGAAGAAAACTTACATTGCCTTCACGGGAGGACATAGTTCAGTGGTTGGAAGTTCCAGATGCTTCCACTGCAGGAGGAAAAGGGCTGAGGAGCTGTAGCTCTATCACCACTACTGGGCTACACACAGGAGTGAAAAGTAAAAGTAAATTTAGAAGTTCCAACCATTTAGCCATACAGCAGGGCTACAGGGCATCCGGCAGGAAGCCTCACCCGGTTGCATTTCCCCCTCTTAAACTTTCATTCCAATGAGCCCAAAAGGCTTTTCTGGGGATCCCTGGGTGGCGCAGCGGTTTGGCGCCTGCCTTTGGCCCAGGGCGCGATCCTGGAGACCCGGGATCGAATCCCACATCGGGCTCCCGGTGCATGGAGCCTGCTTCTCCCTCTGCCTGTGTCTCTGCCTCTCTCTCTCTCTCTCTCTCTGTGACTATCATAAATAAATTAAAAAAAATTAAAAAAAAAAAGGCTTTTCTGTTAAAACACTCATTTTGTTACACTTGTATGTGACCAATTATGCCACCGGTAAAAACAAAAGAGAGTGAACATATTGAAAGCCCTCTTTATTTGTAAGACCAGACAAATACTGAATTATAAGAATTTCTTTCAGGACCACAGATGGAAACATAGTTCAGAAGAGAAATATTTCAACAGTAACAGAAATCACCATAGATCACGTGGCTACTCTCCAGCTTGCTGGTCTCCTGTTTGAAAGGTGTTTCGAGTGGAGACTGCTAACTATATGACAGGCCCGACTCGGTCCCCAGAAGTCCACATCTAGTTCATGGGACGACACACATGTCACCCTGCCGTGTCCGAGACGAAGTTTCAACCACCAGTAACTCAAGGTCAGACATTGTCCTGGAGAACAACGGGGTCCTCGGGTGGCTTTAAGGAGTCACTTGTGTCTGTGTGATGGGAGCCACCCTAGAGCAAAGGCCAAAGATTTTTCTCAGCAACTTTTTCCTTAGTTTTCTCACCTGGGCAAGATGGAGATAAATGAAACCCTTTGCACGTCTCTTGGAAAGCAGGGTGCAATGCATGCAAGTTTGCTGTCCAAGTGCAGATTTGGGGTGTCAGGCGCTCGCAGTGATAACAGGGTTCTGGTGGATGGCTCCATGACCCCATGTTAAAAATAAGCAGAGCTGGAGGTAGTTATTGACTTTCTCAGGTCTTTCCTACTGTCTATAAGAATGTTGCAGAAGCCTCGATGGGGCTGAGAACACTAGTGAGAATTTGGAGAGGCTGAGCGCCCAGGGGAGCCAGACCCAGTGAGGAGGCCGCCTGGGCACAGGTATGGGCCTGCAGGAGGGCGGTGGGTGGTCACGCCGTGCTCTTAATATTCAATTCTGCTCCAGTAGAACATGGTACCCAGGAGAACCCAAAACTAGAAAACAAAGGGGGAAAAATAAGGAATTATTTTAGAAACATCACATACTTGGGGGAAAAAAGGATGTTAGGTTCACTGGGGCTTAGATGATGCCGAAGTTTTAAGAGTCGCCTTAAGAAGCCTCATGGGGCAGAGGTCACCATCCTGCCATTCAGGGATCACATCCCATTCCTCACTTTCCTGCCCCAGTCTGCCCTAGAATTAATTACCTGGCTGTTGGGGTTGCGCCTCCCAGTCTGCGCTAAGCCAGCCCCATGGGGAAGTTCTTTCTTCTTCCCATCAGGGCTAATGACCTTCCAGGGTGTTCCTAATTCTTGTATGGGCCACTTGGAGGTACAGGTTTCTTGCTTTCTAGTGCCGAACCTCTCCTCCCACGGGACTCCCTCTTTTCCCCAAAATGCTCATGACCTAGAAGAGCAGCTCCTGAAGAATGCCATGGAACTCAAGGTATTTGACTCAGGCAAGGGGTTAGAGTATCTGGGTCCTGTGGCACCTCTGCCACCCGCTCCCTGCATCTGGAGAGTCCTGATGGTATCATTCTTCCCCTACCCCAGAGTTAGATGCTGGAATGAGAAAGAAATACCATTACCACTAACGTCTGGTGTTTTTTGACAATTTTCTATACAACAGGCACTGTTCTGGGGCTACCCACATAACACCCCTGAACGCTTCCTGAACCCTATGAAGACACCAAGGCGCAGAGAAGGTAAGGAGCTTGTATCCACGGAGACTGGCTGCCTACCCAGCTGTTGTGGGGATTTCATGCTAAAAGGATTGGATACGTTGCCTTGCCCAGAGCAGGTCTTCAATACATTGAGTTCCTTTTGCTTCCCTCTTTGGAATTTCAAAGAGACTTACTAAATTCAGAGTCTGTTTGATGCTTGTGGAAATGTCCAGGGTTTCCACTGGTCTGGAGTTCTAAGATCCATAGGGGCCTTTCAACATTATCCCACAGTTCCTGCTAGCATGGCACCAATAGAAACTTCACTGTTACCATTTCCCATTCATTTGACAAACTGTCAGACACTTGCTAGGTGCTCTGCTAGGCCCCGGGGGTACAGAGGGCAGCTGGCTCCCAGTGGTGGAGCGACAGTGACAGGACAGGTGTGTGCAGGGTGTTGTGGGAGTTCCTGAGGGCAGGTGAGGGACCGCAGAAGACCTCTCAGGGGAGTTCATTTTCCCTTCCTTCCTGCCTCACTCAGCTTCTCACCCCAAATGCAGCATTCCCTAAAGTGTGGCGGGCACACACCTAAGGGACCCTTGCAGGTGTCCACGATGTTAAGACCATTTGCATAATAATATTGAGACTCTATTTGCCCTTTTCACTGTTTTCCACATTTGTGCTGATGGTGCAAAGACAGTGGAAGGTAAAACAGCTGGCGTCTTGGCAGGATTCGAGGCAGAGGCACTAAACTGTGTTAGTAGTCAGTGTACTCACTGCTATGTACTTGCTGTCCAAAAAAAAAAGAGTAGGTTAAAAGATTTAGAGTTTTAGAATTTTGGGGTTGTTTTTGATGAAGCAGTAAGAATTACCCATTTTATTAAATGTTTACCTTTGAATATACATGGTTTTTTAAAAAAGATTTATTTATTGGGGCACCTGGGTGGCTCAGTCAGTTAAGTGTCTGCCTTTGGCTCAGGTCATGATCCTGAGGTCTTGGGTTCCAGCCCCATGTTGGGCTCCCTGCTCAGTGGGAAGACAGCTTCTCCCTCTCCCTCTGCTCCTCTCCCCAGCTCGTGCACATGCTGTCTCTCTGTCATTGTTTCTCTCAAATAAATAAATAAAATATTTTAAAAAGAGATTATTTGAGAGAGAGAGAGAGAGAGAGAGAGAGAGCGTACGTTCACGTGCATGTGGGGTAGGGGGTGCAGATGGAAAGACAGAATTTCAAGCAGACTCCCCCCAGCAGAGCAAGGGGGTAAGGGGGGAGGTTGCAGGGGGAGCCCAACATGGAGCTTGATCTCATAACCCTAAAATCATGACCTGAGCCGCAATCAGGAGTCAAACACCTAACCCACTGTGCCACCCAGGTGCCCCTGAATATACGTCTTTTTCATATTCTTGCAACAGAAAATATGTGTAAAGCAGTTTTGTTGCATACTGAAATCTGATGGTTGGCTTAAGGAGAGGCAGTTGTGTGACTGTTTAAGTTGTGTAGTGAACTAGCCATTTTATCATGACACACGATTTTTACTTGAAAAAAAAAAGACTAACAGACAAGCTATGGTTATTCAGATTGGGCATCTGGCTGGCATTTTCTCAAAAATTTACAAAGCGAGTATGTCACTTCGAGGAAAACAACTGACAATATCTGTTGCCAGTGATAAATTTGGGCGCACAGGCAAAAATCAGGCAATGTGTGTTTCTGCCATGATGGGCTGAGAGCATCCCCGTGATTGAGGTCCTTTCCAGTGTGGCAATAGCAACAGATGTGATTTCCTGGTAGCGCGTAAAGAATTCAGTCTACATTTGGAAGATCCCATAACACAGTGAACCAATATTTTCCCAAATGACCAATGCATGATGTTATAGAATCATGAATGGGTAAAAAGATTTATGCAAACTGCAAGACAAACCAAGGTGAATATATTTTAATATAATAGATTCTGAAAAGCTTGTTGTCATAGTTTTAGATTCCACATTTTAAGAAACTAGTAGTTGTCAAGTTTTGTATAGTGCCAAAGGAGAATGATCACAATTATCTTTAGAGAAGGCTATCCAAACATTCCTGGTTTTCTTCCAACTACCTATCAGTGTGGGGATGAATTTTTTCAAATCCTTCAACCTAAGCAACATACTACAACAGATTAAGTGAAGAAGCAAATATGAGGACCAGCTGTCTTCTATTAAAATCAGATACACCTATTAAAATCAGAAGATACCCTTAAAAATGTAAAACAATGCTACTTTTCTCACTGTTTTTTTTCAAAATGTTTTAGAAAATAGTCACTTTTTCTACAAAAATATATTGTTAATGGTAACATGTAATTAGTTTATTATCGTTATTTTAAATGAATTAGTATTTTTTAAAATTCTGGGTTAATTTCCAATAGGGTAAATACAAATAGATATAGCCCCCATAAATAAATAAAAGCTTGTTGGAGTCCTCAATAATTCTTGAGAGTGTAAAGGAGTTCTGAAACCAAAAGTTTAGAACTGCTTCCTGAATGTAATGGCTTTTAATCCTGACAGCAAATTTAGAATCATAAGGGAAAAAAAAATTTTTTTTAAATGCCTAGGTCCTGCCCCTGGATCCATTGAATCAGAATCTCAGAGGTTGGGGCCCACCCAGGCATGTTGTCTTTGCTCCAAGCTTCCTCAGGAAGTGGTATCTAACCACTTAGATATCCTTGGTATCTAACCATAATGAATTGAGGAATTAATGAGATCTGGAGAGCTGGAACAGCAGCAAGTGCTCCCCCATCGAGGAGTGGATCTGCACCCCTTCCCCTCCAGCGGATACAAATGCTCCACCTGCCAGTGGGATCCAGCCTCCTTGGTCGGTGCCAGCAGCTTCCTGACTAAGCCCTCAGGCCTGAGGTTTTGTTTCCAGACTGTCTAGTGTGGTTGGGCTAACTATGGGCGATCTCCAGCTCTCTCCTTTTCATGTACAGGGAGATACTCACAGTCCAGCAGAGAATGGCAAATCCAAACCAGGCGACCCCCCAGGCGTGTCGGTTCATAGGTCCAGAGATCAGTTCATAGCAGCCCTGGGGGAGTCGGTGATCCCACACGGGGGTGAGAGGAACCAGAGAAAAAGATGTTAAGAGATGGGTAGAAAGCACATTTCTATCTGGATCAATACTGTTCCAAAGTCCAGTTTCACATACTATTTCCACATCCCCGTGGACAGCCACGCGCTAATGGGGCTTTGCTGAGAGACTAGAAATAATGCTGTCCAACAACTACTCTGTATCACAGTATTTTGTGTCTTTATCACTCAGTCTAACAAAGGTGCTGCTATTTTAGGCTAACATTTTTTCATATTGAATAGGTGGGCAAAAAAAAAGTATTCTTTTTTTTTTCATTGTAGTATAAAGTATAATGTAAAGTATTCCTAATAAAATCTGAGTATTTTTCTCTCCCTAAAGATTTTTTCGGCGTTTTTTTTTTTTTTTTTTTTTTTTTTTTTTTTTTTTTAAGGGCAGAGTTACTTTTTGATTTGTCTGTTCTTAAGGAAAAGTGCTTCTGGTCCATGAACCTCAGACGGTTTGTTTTTTTAACCATTAAAGGAACCCTTGTTTTACACGTCCTAAATAATCATTTGCTATCATATTTCAACATATCTTTACTGGATTCTAGTGAGATCTTGAGAAGCCACGGTGAGCATGCAAGTGATTCATTTTTTTATCTTATTTTTTTAAAAGATTTTTTATTTATTCATGAGAGACACAGGGACACAGGCAGAGGGAGAAGCAGGCTCCCCACAAGGAGCCTGCTGTGGGACTTGATCCCAGGACCCCAGGATCATGACCTGAACCCAAGGCAGAGGCTCAACCACTGAGCCACCCAGGCATCCCTGATTCATTTTTTTATTAATCAAATTATTCATTCATGCATGCTATAATCCTGTGAATTTTTATATGTGGCACACTCTGTTCCAGTCGCCATGCAAAGTGCTGGAGTAACACACGCACATGGGGTTAGAGCTGCCCTCTGAGTGACCTGAGCTGAAGCCTGGGAGAAGTCTAGGAAATGCAGCAGCTGGTGGTTCCGTGGACCACTGAGGTCCAGAGGGAAATGTCCTTAAAAGGCTGACCTGGATGGTTAGGCCTGCCCAGTGGCTGCAGGTGACCACTTGGGGTTCCATCTTTTCTGACCCAGCTCCAGGCCCTTGTTAACCCACTTACAAACCCTGCCTTTGCTAAGCCTTTATTTCTCCCTCATGTACTCTCCTCTGTCTATGTTATAGGCATCTCCATTCATCTACGTGCTCAAGTAAGAAATTCTCAAATTATCTTTAACTGTTTTTCTCTTATCCAACACCAAATACTTAGGTAAAACCTTTTGGGTCTACTTTAAAATACCTCAAATCCAGGGGCGCCTGGGTGGCTCCTTGGCTGAGCATCTGCCTTCAGCTCAGGTTGTGATCTTGGGGTCCTGGGATCGAGTCCCATATCGGGTTCCCCACAGGGAGCCTGCTTCTCCCTCTGCCTGTGTCTCTGCCTCTCTCTGTGTCTCTCATGAATAAACAAATAAATCTTAAAAAATATATATATATAAATAAATAAATCTTGAAATATATATATAAAATCCAAACACTTATTACTTCCTGCTTACCTTGGTCCACTGTGGTCTCCTTCCAGAATTACTACAACAGCCTCTTACCTGGTCTCCCTGGGTCCTGAGTCCACTGTTGGTATCCTATTTATTTATACAGTGCCAGAGGGATGCTTGTCAAACATAAATCAGATCACTTCAAATCCCTGCTCAAAAGAAATGGCTTTCTGCCACTCTTACAATGAAATTCTGAGTTCTCATGTTGGCCTACAGGGCCCTCTCAGATGCGGCTCTGCCTCCCTCTCTGACCCCCGCTTCCTCTACCAAAGGCTGCTTCCCTATGAAGCTAATGAGCTTAAGCTTCAGGGCTGCTTACTCACAAGCCCATTTCAAGGCCCTGTACCTAATTTTGTATACACATTTTTCATTGTTTTTCCTAAGAGTGATCTTTCCCTACTGATTCAAAGCCCTACAAAATCTAAAGTATCCTTGCCATCTTCTTTGTTTTTAAAAAAAATTATTTATTTGGAAGAGAGAGTGAGAGCATGAGCACAATCTGGGGGGGGAGGCAGAGGGAGAGGGAGAAGTAGACCCCCCCGCTGAGCAGGGAGCCCCACACGGGCTCAATCCCAGGACCCCGAGATCATGACCTGAGCTGAACACAGACACTTAACTGACTGAGCCACCCAGGTGCCCCATCTACTCTTCACTCATTCTGACCTTGCCATGCTGATGTCCTTTAATGTTCTATAAAAAGCTAAGAACGCTCCCCTTTGGGGCCTTTGCACTTGCTGCTTCCTTTGCTCAGAACTCTGTTCTCCGATCTTTAAGGGAGCATATCATTTCCTCACTTAATTCAGAACTCTGCAAATACTATCCCAACAAAGCCTTCCCTTAGCACTATAGAAAACACCACTCTTTCCCCTGGTCTTTCCCAGTATGCTTTCTCTGCTTTACTTCTTGCTCGTGGCCTTTATCACCACCTGGAGTTTGTCATGTATTCGTTTGGTAGCTTGTTTGGTCTCTCTCTCCTCTGCTACAGCACAAGTCCTGGGTAGGGATCTTATTGTGCTCATTGCTGAATCTCTGGAACCCAGCACAAGTGCCCGGTACAAAGTAGGCACCTAATAAACACTGATAGAATGGATGGAGCAGGATATGAAGTAATGATTACAACAGTATCATTTGTGACACAGTAGCTCACAAACACTCCTCTATCCAACACTCACTGATCCTCCTGACAATCCTGGGAGGTGAGGTGGTTGTTTGTCTTAATATGTATAAGAACCCACTTATGTCAGGTGCCAGGCCCTGGGCTGGGGGCTCAGCGGTGACCAGACAAACATGGGTATTGTTCTCATGGAATCACAGACAAAGCCCCAGTTTTTTCACCTCTTTTAATTTAGTTCCTTATCATGATGCTTTTATTTATTTATTTATTTATTTATTTATTTATTTATTTATTTATCATTGTAATGGTCCATCTCTTGCTCTCCTTAGTTCTGTGATAATGTTCTTGAGGTACCATAATCAGAATTTGCACATAGCATTTCTGGGGCAGATGGGCCATGAGTAAGAATACAAATATCTGCCTCTGACATGCTATGTGAAATTCTGGTTAGTTTTTCCCCCCACACTTATGATGATATCCCTGATTTTGTTAGCCTTCATTTATGCAACGTAGATTTCGAAAAGCTACAACATGGATAGGAAAGAGTCATTCCCCTCTTCAATCATCCACCCACCCAACATTTCTCAGTGCCTGCTCTGAGCCAGGCAGGAGGTGTGAAGTACTGAAGATCCAGAATTGAGTAATGCATGGTCCTCAAGGAGACTCAGAAAAAATAGACTTGGGAGCAAACACTTACACAATGGCTCAAGGTGTCAACTGCCATAAAGTATATGAAGGTGGCATATTTTCCTTGGGGGAAAAAGGTCTGCTATAGGAGGATTAGCAGGACCTAGAACTCAGAAGGAACAGTGGTGTGTGGGAATCTGGGGGCCAGGAGAGGGAGAAGTGGAAAGGACTAGTAGATAAGAGATCATGTTGAGGGGGAAGAATGAGAGATTGAGACAATGGGAGCATGGGGAGCTGGGGACAGAGAGGAATTTCAAGTGCAGGACTTGACAGTGGAGTAGGGTTGCATGATGGTAAGTTTGTAGTTGTGGTGTATTTGGTGGGTAGAGGAGGTAAAAATGTTTAGGACAGGCGAGGCCAAGGAACCCTACGGGAGGAGGTGGGAAGGGTTATCAAAACTCATGTGGAGGTCCCTCACTACTAGAACATTACATGTCCGGGACACCTGGGTCACTCAGTGGTTGAGTGTCTGCCTTTGGCTCAGGGCGTGATCCTGGGGTCCTGGGCTCCGGTCCCATATTGGGCTCCTTGCATGGTGCCTGCTTCCCCTGTCTCTGCCTCTCTGTGTGTCTCTCACGAATAAATGAATAAAATCTTAAAAAAAAAAAAGAACATTGCATGTCCTAGGGAGATACACTGACTATCTGACTATCTGAGGGCAAATTGTCCCTTTAACAGAGATGATACGGTTTATATGCAATCCCATCCAATCAAGACACGTTTGTGTGGGCCCGTGCCAAGGTTGAAATACTGAAAGCATTTATTACTCCTGAGAGTGGTCATTATATTGCATATTGTGATTATAAGGAATGAATTTAATTTTTAGAGCAGTTTGAATGTAACTGATTAAAATGACACCAAAACAATGTTGCTGAAAAGCTAAATAAGGATTGTTCTGAAGGACTCTGCAAAATAATCTGTATCACTCCAATGTCCTCTTCTGGATTACTGCAACCAATCCGAGTCCAGGTACCCTTCCAGATATGGCACAATGATCAGCTCTTCAGTGTCCTTCATTCTGAAAGTGCACTGTGTACTATGTGCTACCAGACTAAGGAGTCTGACATTTCTCAATATTTAATGAATTGGCACACAACCAGCTTTCCTCAAAGCAGAAACTTGCAGAGCAGCGTAAGCATTTCAGAGGCTGACTACAAGAATATGAGAATTCTCATCAGGCTTTTTGGGAATATTTCCAAGTTTTTTCTTGGCTTACAATCTGGGCTCCAGAGCCAGACTGCTTGAATTTGAATCCTGATGCAATTATTTACTAGCTGAGTGACCTTGGGCAAGGTACTTCTTATAACTCAGTTCCTCATCCATAAAATAATCATCCTGGCACCTACCTTTGAACATTAAATGAGTTAATATATGGATGGCACTTGGATTAGTATCTGGCTTTAGTAAGTACTCAATAAATGTTAGTTTTCATGATCATTCTATCTTTCTCATTGGGCTGGAAACACTTTCTCAGAAACCATCTGTATATAAACTGCCTCTACCCAAATCATCAATTTAATATTTTATTAAAACTATCATATTGCCACTGAATAATGAAAGTGGTTATATAATTACTGCATTTGCCATCAGCAATTGCCATTGCCTTGGCACTAGCAAAACATTGTTTTTGTATACACCTCTTCCGATTTACATGTTGCAAAAATAGAACAAATAAATCTGTGTTTAACGGCAATAGTTTTTGAAATACCAATTCTATTGTACAAATAGTTTGCATTTAAACAAAGTTGGACTTCACTGTTGCAATTCTCATGTTCTGTTAGTTTTATTAAAATGTAGATTCTCCTTGATCAGCCTGAGATTAGCATTCACATTTTACTCACAGGGAAGGGAATAGTTGACACGGATGTTTAGGAAAAAGGATGCGGAATCTACTACCTATAGTTAATAGGTATAATAGACTAGATTGCCTATAGCATTTCCCTCATATAGAGCAGAAATCCTGCTGGCAGGTCTTGGGCAGAGAGGACTCACCTGCTTGTGATAGTAACCAGGCACTCCTAGCTTGCAGGCTTCCAGGTTGAGAGGTTCTTGAAGATTATTCATCACACAGCACTGACGAGGCCATGGGTAGTCGGCATCGTTGTTCTCAGTCCGGAAGGCAGACGTATATTTCTGCCAGTCTGATGGACCATTTACCCCACAGCAGTGGTCCTGTCAGCAGAGGAGAGATACAAAATTCTCTTCCATGCTCCTTGCTAGAGCCATCAATGTAACAACTGAGATTTCATGGAGAAAGAAGATATGGAAAGTGTACCTTATCTTACGTTTACTAAAATTCCCCAAACAAGGGCTGAGAGAATTGATAACCTTTTAGAGCTTACAAAATACTCCAACATTTGTTACTTTACTAGCCACTAATGAGCTCTTTAGCCTCTGATGAGTTCAACTCCCTACTATGCCTCATTTGACTTCACTGTAAAATATGGCCTTGTTTCCTTCACGCAGTCTGTGGTCCTCGGAGTTCCTCTGAGGATTAAATTAGCTAATGTGCCTGACCTTTCTAGTACCATGTCTGCCCATGGTAAACCCTTAATTATTATTAATACTAATATCTTGATACAACAACGTGAGGGAGGTATGATTATTCTCATAGGACATATAAGCAAATTGAGAATCAGAAAATTACAATTTTTAGTGACAAAGAAGTGATGAGTAATTCTTGTTTTATGTTTCTGCACTTTTAACATTTTCTAGAGTACTCATGTATTACTTTTATAATGGGAGAAAATACACTGGAAAAAAACAAAAACAAAACAAAACCTGCTGGCAAACAGCTATGCCTCTACATAGGAGAGGAAGATCAAGGAACGCATACCTAATATCCTTACACTCTGCATAGAGTTGAGGTTAGGGAATAAAACATACTTCATATCACTTTCCTTCCTTTGTAGAAATTCTGCTAAAATGTTTCAGGGGAAGAAATTAAAACTATAGGCCCCTCTCCACTTTCAGAATAAATTACTTTCAAACAAACTTGATGATAAATCAGCTGGCTTTAAGGCATACCCTACTTTGCCACTGGATTATGGAAAATATCTTGCAAAGGAAAATAATTATCCTGTATTTTGACCTGAGCCTCTTGGGGGGAAATGGTCAAGTTCAGATTGGGGTTTTAAAAGTTGGTAAGGAGGTTTTTCAAATGTGTGGGGATTTGCATTTTCATTTGAAGAGCTTAGTACTTGCTAACAGAGTGGAAAAAGTACGTGACCTATAGTCAGAAGAGTGATAGAAAGTAAAACAGTGGCCAATGAATCGGAGGTCCTACTGGGGTAAAAAGAATGATTGGAATGAGAATATTCAGGTAAATGAAGGAAGTGACAGAGGATAGAGGGTAAGGAGACATCAAAAACAGGTCAGAGGCTATAAAAGAGTTTGCTGATGATGTACTGTGAGCCAGTGGAGAGGGAGGGGAGGCAGGGGTCAGTGTGAGAGTTGGGTCAGAATAGGGCTTTTGTAGGGATAGAAATTTGTATACATAAGGCAATATAGGGGCAGTAGTGGATATTCTGAAAGACTTGGATTTTTGATGACATTTAAGGTACACTTGCATATAAGGGATAATGGCCAGTTAGACAAAAGTGGGCAATCAAGTCAAGTCATAGCCCATGGTCCTTGGCAGGACTAGCCCATAGGTACTAAATAAGCAAAATAGGCAATAATTGCCATTTGAGTTCACTGTGGTGTGGAGGAAGCAAACATTTTCTTTCAATGTAAGTGATGCTTGAGTTCCAAGAGGGAGGGTGTGTGATTTATCTAAATTTCTTAACAATGTCATTATCCCTAAATGGAAGTTAATCAACATCATCACTCAAAAATAAAATATAGACTTAGGAGTCCCACTGAGTGATGTGCACACAAGAGGAATAGATAAGATAAATAAATGAACTGGCCTATGTCCAATCTCTTTTTCTTTCTTTCTTTCTTTCTTTCTTTCTTTCTTTCTTCTCTTTCTTTCTTTCTTTCTTTCTCTTCCTCTTTCTTCTTTCTTCTTCTCTTTCTTTTTTTAGAGAGAGCCTATGTGAGCAGGAGGAGAGAGGCAAAGGGAGAGGGAGAAGAAGAGAGAGGATCTTAAGTAGGCCCCATGCCTAGCCCGACACAAGGCTTGATCTCATGACCTTGAGATCATGACCTGAGCTGAAATCACAAGTCAGACGCTTAACCCACTGAGCCACCCAGACAGGTGCCCCAGTCCAATCGCTTTTTAAAGGAAACCACCCTAGAGGCGGTGGTCCTCACTCTTTGCATTTACTCCCAACCATACCTTCCCTCTGGATACTGGTCTAGGTATAGAATGCTATGACCCCAAGACTGCAGGCATTACCTGGAGCATGAGTCTGTCCCAGGTCTTGGTGACTCCATTATTTTTCCATTGGTCATCATTGTTTGGAGGGCTACTGTTTTGGTACCTCTCCAGCATCTGCTTCAGGAAGAGGTTGGGTGTGAACTATGGTGGGAAGAGACAACAAAAGGAGAGTTAGCACACTCTCCCCAAGGAAGCCAAGTGATTTGCTCAGCCTGTTGCTAGGGGCACTGAACATTGTCTCCTGGAGCAAAACTTCTCAGAGGCACCAAAAGGGACGGGGTGGATGTGAGGGTGCTCTGGACGGCTGAAGTCCCCATGAAGGAAGAAGGACACCCCCACCCTCCCTCCCATCATCTTCAAAGAAATCCCAGTGAGACCAGGGTGGACAAGCATTTTAGGGTGGCTTAGGCTAGGAAATGGAGAAAAGGAGAGAAAGCAGGATGCTGAATTGAGAGGAAGTCTTAGATGTGGTGGATGACATCATCCTATTGCAGGGCCAGTGGCCACAGTGCAGTGGGAAGAGCACAGCAGTGTACGCTTGGGCCCGGAGAGTTGCTCTGCCTGGACTCAACATTCTTTGCTTTTCTTTCTTTCTTTCTTTCTTTCTTTCTTTCTTTCTTTCTTTCTTTCTTTTCTTTCTTTCTTTCTTTCTTTCTTTCTTTTCTCTTTTCTTTTTTTAAGAGATTTTATTTATTTATTCATGAGAGACACAGAGAGAGGCAGAGACACAGGCAGAGGGGGAAGCAGGCTTCTTGTGGGAAGCCTGACGTGGGACTCGATCCCGGGACCCCAGGCTCATGCCCTGAGCCAAAGGCAGACGCTCAACCGCTGAGCCACCCAGGTGTCCCTCAGGGTTCTTTTCTTTCACTTACCAACTGTGTAACCTCAGACAAGTTACCTCACCTTTCTAAGTATCATTTCTTTAACTGTGAAGTGACCATAGTGATAATACCTATTTCATAGAGTTATTATGAGGATTAAGTAAAGTTATATATGTATTAATGCACATATTAGAGTGGCTGTACAGACTGAGGGCCTAATACATGTCAGCTATTACATTGTTATAATGATAATGATAACTTATATGATCATTTTTGCTCTGTGCTTTTTGCAATTGTACTCACAAAGTCTCGTTGTGTGGCTGCTGTGATACAAGACGCCACTTCAAAGCCATATACTATAAACATCAGAATGAAATACTGGAAGGGAAACAAATGGGAAAAAAAGAATTACATTTATCTCCAAAAAAGAGAATTTAAAAAAGATAATTGTTATAGTCTTTCAGCATATTCATCTAAGTATAGCCATCTAGTCATTAATGAAATTATTCAACAAACACTCATTGATCAGCTGTTTGGAGCAGGACTTGGTGCCAGGTGCTAATCAGCCCAATTCCCTCCTTATGCCCAGAGAACAAACGACTATTGAATACAGAGCTTTCTCAGTCCTGTATCCTACATTTCTGTTTTAAATGAGAAAAACAAATCAAGAGAATGAACTGATGTGTGTATGTGTGTTTGTTCAATGGCTGGCAAAAGAGTCTTGGTGGATCAGACACTATAGAGAGCTCCATAAATTCCTTCTCACTGAGGGAAGTTTTCTTTATAGTTTACTGAAAATTTAGAATTACAGAGGCCAGAAAAAAATAAACCAGATAGTGTTTAATATCCATTGTCCCTCCTGACAAGGGACCAGTCTCACTAGAGTGGAGTGGATCCTGGTACACTGCCTTTCACCAGCGCTCTTCTCTCAGGCCCCAGCCTTCCAGGTACGGGTCAGGCGAGTGGAACAGACCTCACTGTGTTGCTGCTGTGTGTCTGTGTGTTGCTGTTGTGTGTGTGTGTGTGTGTGTGTGTCCACACTCACATATGGGCACACACGCTTTTGCATGGTGCCTCCCCACCATACTGCCTCTATTTATGACTGAAAGATATCTGAACGTCAAGTTGCCTCTGAATCTGGGATGAGGACTATTTGTGAGGGTCTGTCTTTGCTTTTCTGGACCCTGCATGTTCACTTTTGTTCCCTGGATTCTTCTAGGGAAGGGGCGTTGCAGTCAGTGTCCATGGGGGAGGGCAAGGAAACCTGTTCTCTCTCCAGGGCAGGGATGGCTCTCTGAGCAGGACCCTCTCCTGCCCTAACTACTCAGCTACTACTCAGAGAAAGGCTTCGGCTGGGGAGTTAGCAGCAGGAGCATCTCCAGAGGCCTCATAACACTTGCTGCCTTGTTTTTTGTTAAGAGCTTTGCTGGTTGGGGGTACCTGCCTGACTCAGTCGGTAGAGTGCGTGGCTTTTGATCTTGGGGTTGTGAGTTCGAGGCTCATGTTGGCTGTAGAAATTACTTAGAAATAAAATCCTTAAAAGAAAAAAAGAGCTTTTTTTAATATTCTCATGATTATATTTTGCACATTTAAATGAACAGACAAATGGATTATTTTCCTCCTTGAGGAGGACATTATTTATACTGTCACCATAATATTCATTTCTTTAAGTTGACAAATCTAATTATCCATCCTGATTTTGTCCTTTTATCTATCCACTTGTATCCATGGAAACATGAGAATTTCTCTTAAAAAGGGAAAAAATTGAAAATACAGATTTTTCCCATTTGGTAGCCTGTCATTCTTTTTGCCTCTTCTATGCTCTTTTTAAAGGAAACATTTTACATTGCTTTCAACACTCTTACCTAAAAGTGTGAGAAATATCACACCTTTATTCCTTTGTAAAAAAAAGTTGAAAGGATTTTGTTCAACAAAGTATTTTTTTGAACTTTCTAGCAGACATAAATATATAAAAATACATTAAACTTAAATACATCAAATCTTTTGATAGCTGAAATGTAGAAAAAAAGCTTAGTGCATGGGTTATTAGTATCTATATGACACTTATGACAACTTTTTCACACTGAAAAAAAGGGCTTTGATGGCTCCTCTTCAAGGGGCTGGGAAACCCCTTAAGGACACTCCAGAAAGGAGGTGCTGAGGATGCAGGGTTTTTCCCCACCAGCCCCTGGGCAGCTGCCCTGCTCCTTCTCTTTGCAGGACACGGTGAAGAATGTTCCCTCCTGGCTTTGTCAGGTATACGTGGCTGCCCAAGGTGAGACCAGGATGCAGGTAAAACTTGTCTCTGGGGATACCTGCCCCTCCTCTCCCTTTCCCTGCATTCTTTACCCACCTGAACAAGTGGGTGCTTTTGTCCCAGAACAAACTCATGCTAAAGGAATCAGAGAATGTAAATGTTCTGCATTCCCTGGGTGTCAGGGCAAAGTTTAGATCACAGGAAAAGTAAACCAACAAGCACTTTAAGTTGCTGGGCTTGATCTATAAAGATGTAACTCAAGTCCTGCAGCACTTGGGTAGGAGTTATTTCAGGGTGGGGGGTGGGGGTGGGACCCCATCACAGTGTAAGGAAAAAACCACTGTTCTAAGCATAGGGGCCAAGAATAGAAGTCTAGACCCAATTCCAAGGGTTCTTAGCTCTGCTGGTAGCAGATTTGCTTCCATCTATGAAGCCGGGACATGACCTTGCTGTCTGTGGCTTAGGGCTGAAGCCTCTGCGGCTGCGTAGTGTTAGAGGCTCCACAGGCAGGTGGGGCCGACGCTGTGCTCTATAGTGCTGCATGTCAAGGTTTTCTAGGGTCCCTGAAGAGTAGAGTGAATACAAAATATGGGAAACGCAGGTCATTATACAAAATCACCAGCCTTAAGCTCAAAAATGTCTGAAAAAGCTCATGCTGTCTCTTAAAAATGCATGCATATTTTGCATTTTATATCCAAAGATATGAATGACTGATTGGTATTAAAATAATACTTTAAACTCCTTATTGTCAAGAGAAAAAAGCCTAATGATCATGTTCTCACGCTGTCTCTCCTTTGACCTATGTAGCTTCTGGCTGTACCTGCTGGATGCATGCAGGTACCAGGCGGAGAAGCACAGATCTGAAAAATTCTCAACAGGATCACCCCCACGTTTCTCCATACTGGAATCTTCTGGACTTGCAATGGTGGAGGGCATCCTTACCCCCACACGGACAAGCTTCACTGCAGGAGAGTCTTTTGCGCCTTCTCACCCCCACCTGGCTCTCTCTGTTCCCACCCACCCCACTGCAAGCCAAATCACTGCGCTCAGGGAAGAAGAAACAGTCCATCAAAATCGGTCCAGGAGCAACTGTAGAGAGTTTTAAGGTCTCACCGCCAAAAGAATTTTCCTGCTGGACCTCATGATGCCTACAATGCCTAGAACAGACAGGCAAAAGAGGCAGATGCCCACAAACATGCCGATCCAGGCCGCCCCGTAGATGTCATCGTTGTCGGTGGCTTCAAGCAGCGGGTAGAGTCTGTGCTGGTCGGATACAAAGAAGATGCACTCTGCCGTCAGGGCGATGCCGCACATCTGGGGGCAGAGGGCGTCTGTCAGGCTGGGGGGCAGGAGAGAAGCATCGGGAGAAGGATGCAGAAGTGTGGGAAGGGGGTTATGAGAAAGACTAACTCCGTCCCTGCAGAGGCTCAAAGTGATGGACTCATCACCAGGACATCAAACAGCTCATTCCATCCTATTAATACATTGCATGCTTCCTCCCACCAGTCACTCCCTTATTGCTGTTTGGGAAAAGACCCAGGCAATTTCAGACCATCTAGAGTCCTTGGGGGCATGAACCACAAGCAACATCTTGTGGGGAGATCACCTCCCACTCTCCCACTGCCTTTCACCCAAATTCCTGGATTATAATATTTAACCCATTCTTGGTCATGCTCATTGGTGCCAGAGAGGCATTGAGTATTAGAGCTGGAAGGAACTTTGGTGGTTATCTTTCTCACCCCTTGCATTTTATAGACAAGGGACGTTGGCCTTGAAAGCCGATGACTTGTCCAGAGTCACATGGACTTGGAGGCAGGCTGGGCCCAGAGCCAGCAATCCTGGCTCTCAAGTGCTCTGTCAGCATGCCACACCCACACAGTGTGGCCTCTGAGCCACTCTCACATCCTGGTATTGCCTTCTGTGTGATAAGGACAAGTAAATGCAAACATTTATCCCCAACAGGCTTAATAGAACAGTTCCACGGAAATCAAACTGAGGTGAAGTAGAAAAGAAACACCACAGCCTGTGTGTGGTGGGAATGTTTGGACACTGACCATGGTTGACCTGGCTTCTTTCAGATTTTTGTGTCTTAAAGTTGGGAGGGAAAGATCCATTCTTTTTTAAAATCATGGTCTTTCAACATATTGCGCAGTTCCACATGATAGTTTATATAATCAAGTTCTAGCTAACATATTTTACTATCACATTTCCTGAAAAAAAGAAAAGAGAGAGGAAGCCAGTAATTATATCATTATTTTCCTTTAAACTTTCAAAAGTGAGAGTTTAAAGGAAAAATAAATAATAATCCAAATAATAAAAAATAATCCCCAAACCATGATTTCAGAAAGAACTTCCTGAAAAATACTTGTTACTTACACCAACAATCACATTTCCAAAAATCAGCAGGCCCTGGAAGCAACGAACAGTGGAGTCATCTTTGGCCATCTTCAGGATTTCCCACAAGCTGAAGACACAATGGAGAACATTACAACTGAATCGGACCAGGTGACAAATGCCGCTCCAAGTTCCTGGATATGCCTACCTCACACCATCACGTATCACCTTCTTGTGTTCCGAAGCATCCAAACCAAAGTCAGGCAATCATTTAGCAAGGGAGGGAATTTGGTTACTAAGCTCTCGAATCACTGTCATTTTTTTAAAAAGCCTTTATTTATTTATTCATGAGAGACACAGAGAGGCAGAGACACAGGCAGAGGGAGAAGCAGGCTCCTTGCAGGGAGATGGATGCAGGACTTGATTCCAGGACCCCAGGATCACGACCTGAGCTGAAGGCAGATGCTCAGCCAATGAGCCACCCAGGCGCCCCTGGATTTGAGATATTTTAAAGTAGACCCAAAAGGTTTTGCTTAAGTATTTGGTGTTGGATAAGAGAAGAACAATTAAAGATAACTTGAAAATTATTATTATTATTTAAATTATTATTTGAAAATGGTAAATCCATGGCAGTTGGTGCCCATATTGATTACAGGCAGGTGTTAAAAATCATTATTATCAGAATATTCTGTTACCTTCAAAAATAGCTGGCAATTTTAAAAGTACCCTGTTTATCCAAAGGATACAAAAATAGATATTCGAAGGGGCACATGCACTCTGATGTTTATGGCAGCATTATCAACAATAGCCAAACTATGGCAAGAACCAAGTGTCCATTGATTGATGAATGGATAAAGAAGATGTCACACACACACACACACACACACACACACACACACACTGGGAATATTACTCAGCCATAAAAAAGAATGAAATCTTGTCATTTGCAATGACTTGGATGGAACTAGAGCATATTACGCTAAGCGAAATAAGTTAATTCCACTCACATGTGGAATTTAAGGAATAAAACAGATGAACATAGGAGAAGGGAAGGAAAAATAAAGTGAGATAAAAACAGGAAGAGGCAAACCATAGGAGATTCTTAGGTATAGAGAACAAACTGAGGGTTGCTGGAGGGGAGGTGGGCGGGGGGAATGGGCTGGGTGGGGGATGGGCATTAAGGAGGGCATGTGTCATGACGGGCACTGGGTGTTATATGATGAGTGTGATGAGTCACTGAATTCTATTCCTGAAACCAATACTACACTATATGCTAACTAACTTGAATTTAAAGAAAAGCTCAGAATAAATAAGTAAGTAAAAATCAAAAGTACCCTATTGCACAAGGTAGGGGGTGGGAAAAGAGGCGTTGACATAAAGTTCCTTCCATGTGCCACTCAACTAGGACACATCTAACTCTCATAGCCTGATTAGGTAGAAAAAGAAAAAAGGTGAGGAGCCTCATTCTGCAGATGAGGAAACTAAAGCTTTAATTTAGGTAATTAAGGTCCCTGGGGCCATGCGATCAGTAAGTGGAAGAGCTAGGCTGGAGGCGTTGGCCAGTGTGGCTGGAGCTCCAGGTCATCCCCCCAGCCCACTCTGGCTCCCAGAAATTATTCATGAGGTTTAGTGCTTTGTATGGCACTAAAAATCAGTGGGCCTCTCCCTCCCTGAGGATTCTCTGGAAGGAACACGGAGGTAAGTGTTTTGGGTCAATTACTTTAGCTTTTATATTTCAAATGCCTTCAGATATGCCATCCAGGGGGCTCCTGGGTGGCTCACATGGTTGAGCATCTACCCTTCCGTTCAGGTCAAGATCTCCGGGTCCTGGGATGGAGCTTTGGGTGGGGCTCCCTGCTCAGCGGGGAGCCTGCCTCTGCCTCTCCCTCGGCCTCTGCCTCTGCTTGTGTTCTCTCTCTCTCTCTCTCTCTCTCTCTCTCTGTCTCAAATGAGTAAATAAATCTTTAAAAAAAGAAAAGCCATCCACATCTCTTACCATGTTACTGATTTGAGTAACGAATCACTGCCTGCACTCAGGCTCTAAGTCAAAATGTATTAAATGATACAACCTGAGTTTTGAGGTGTACAAAGATATATAAGGGAGATTGCTGTGTTCTAGGATTTTATGCTCTGGCAGGGAAGCTGAGATAGTTCCTAAATAGTCTTCTTACATCCAGTAAGACCCTAAGTGCTGTGTGGGAGTTCTGATTATGGAAATGGAAGCCCTCCAGAGTGTGTATGGTTTGGGTGAGGAGACTAGAGGTGTAGGGTGGGTGTGGGAGGAAGGTGGGGTGGCTGACATTCCAGGGAAAGGAAAAAGTCGGGGAGCGGAGACCTAGAAGAGCAAGGTGGCCCTGGAGTAGCAATGGAGGCAGTGTGGCTGCAGTGCCCGTTGGTACAGGGGATCAATGGGAGGCAAGCCTTCTACGTGACTCAGACCTTGCTAAAATTGAACTTCATTATTCTACCCTACTGTAAGCATTAATGACCTTCCAAGTAATCTCAACTTCTCTATTTTCCCTTGCTCTTCAGCTGGGTAGCTATGGGGATTGAAGGAGTCATAATCCATGAGTGTCTGGGGCCCAGAATTGAGGGCATCCGTGGGTCATCCATCAACGTTTGCTGAGTGAATAGAAGAAAGCAGGCCACTGGGATAAGATCTTTGTGTGTAGTTTCTGCTTGGAAGTGGCATTCATTCTTCCCTGCAATTGTTCCAGTGACTGTTACCTGCCAGACTGAGTGGAGCCAGGGTGCCCTGAAGGAGTTAATGCACAGGCACCACCAAGGGAGATCTTTACTCGTGTGACCAGACCAGTCACATTGTAAAGTTCATTACCGGTATGCACAGACATTGCTCCTGACCAGCTGAGTGATGATCTAGAGACAAAAATAAATAGACGGGGAAAGTTCAGACAACACAAGTATAGAGAGTCAGGGGCAAAAGTCTGGAGAAGCCAAGGGCAGCACTATTTCGACCAGTCCGGACTAGGCACCCATTTGTTGGGTCGCAGCCTGTTTGGGTTGATTAGCTGGGCTTAAAGAACAGAAAGAGGGCAACGTGTTCTTGCAAGGAATTTCAAGTGTGATTGCAGCAACATGGATTCAAGAAAAAATGAGTGTAGGTCGAATCAAAGGGGAAGAAGGACTACAGACAAGAGGAAGAGTATAGGCAGGCCACCACGCTGGGCTTTCAGGGTGTTGCTGAAGGGACCTGAACATGGGATTGGGCCTGGGTGACTCGTTAGGCCCCATAACCCACTTTTCCAAAGACGACCTGCCACAGCGAGTTCTATAAAGGGGGAAGAGACAAATGGGTACTCTGTGGGAGGACTGCCTGTCAGGATCAGGATGGGACCCAGACAAGAGTGGGAGAAAAGAAGGAGGAGGCTGATGAGGGGTGGCTTTGAGCAAAAAGAAGAGTGAACTGAGCCGGGCAGCAGTAGGAAGTGCTGGGGAGGCAGCCTGACTGTGGGGGAACCCCTGGAGGGCCAGGATGTAGCCATGGGCAAGGCCACAAGCCTTCTCTCCCCTTGCCCCGTGCATTCTCCTCTCCGTCAGGCCTCTGGGGTCAGCGGCACGCAATAACCGAGGAAGTCACTCCCATCCTCCAAAATAACAAAACCATGATGAAAGCTGTCATGGAATGAGCACTTTGGGTGTCCTCAGCTCACAGTAGGCACCTCATGCTCATCTCTCAACAGAGCCAAGAGGTGTTGTTTGGTTTGTTTGGGCGTTTGTTCACTTATTTTATTTTATTTATTTATTTTTAATTTTTAATTTTTATTTTTGTTTGTTCACTTTTTTAACCAAAATTTGTACTAATTTCTTACGGCTGCTGTAACAAGTTACTACAAACTCAATGGCTTAAAGCAACACAAATGTAACCTCCGAGGTGGAGGTCAGACGTGTGAAATGAGTCTCACTGGGATAAAATCAACCTGTCCGCAGAGCGGCCCTCCTGGAGCATCTAGGGGAGAATCTGTTTTCTTGTCATTTCCCAGATGAAGAGAGGGAGGCTTGAGAGATTGCTTACTTTTACTCAAGGCCACTCTACCAGAAAATGCAAAGGCTTAGATTCAGGGGCGCCTGGGTGGCTCAGTCAGGTAAGGGTCTGCCTTCCACTCAGGTCATGGTCCCGGGTCCTGGGATGCAGCTCCGTCTGGGGCTCCCTGCTCAGCGGGGAGTCTGCTCCTGTCTCTCCCTCTGACCCTCCTCCCTCTTCCTCTCTCTCTCAAATAAATAAATACTCTTGAAAAAAATAAAAAGCTGAGATTCAAACCCAAGTCTGCCTGGCTTTGGATATTTTAGTTAAACGCTATACAGTTTCTGAAGTCCTGTCACAGAGCTAATATAAAAGCAACCCCTGGCTCACTTCTGTGATGACCCTCAAGCAGAGCGAACAGGTCCCCCGTGTGGCTCAGATGCCTTTGCCAAGGTCAGAATCACGGGGCCTCTCTTCACTCACCTCTCCAGCTTCCTGTGTCTCCGTAGCTCCTGTCTCCTTAGCTCCTTGACATTGCACGAATATTTGCACATTTTCCTCAAACCCAGGGCTGCACCCACATGTTTTTCCAGAAAACTTGTTCAGATATATCCCAACCCTGCAGTTTTTTTCACCCACCTCTTAGGACCAAAATTCTTGGAAGGAAAAGGTGCAAATGTGCAGGTTAATGTGAACTGACATTTCATAGCGTCTCCTTGGTTGCTTGTGTTTTAGATTAGGTTGGTGTCTAGAGGACCCAAAACATTTGTTGCATCTGCCACACAGCCACAAATGTCCAGTGAGATGGTAGTTAGGGAGCCACGTGTAGGCTTCTCAGGGCTCACGGGGTAGCCTGGTGGCTGTAGTCTGTGAGCACACCCTGGACTTGGGGTCAGAATGCCAAGGTTCAAACCCCAGTCTTGTCCATTCTTTCTGTGGACCCCTGGACAGTGCTACTCAATGTCTACTTCCCCATTTATAAAAAATGGGTAAGACGCAATGTGTTTGATGGGGTCTTTGTGATTGCTGAGATAAAAGATGGGGAAGTGGTTGGCAAAAACTTTTTGCTTATAAACATGAGAAACTGTGATTGATAACCAGTGGCAGACTTAGGAAGAGCAGGAAATTGGGCTATGGCTTTGCTTTATGCACCAGTGACTCCTGGGGCCTCGCCAGGAGGTTGGAAGTTGACTGGTCCCATGGCCAATGTCTTCCAGGTTGAGGTGAAGCAGTCTCTCTACCTTCCCTCTATCTCCTGCCTAGGATCCACTCTGCTGTAGGGATCTATAGGCTTTACACATGTGTGCTTCTTCTTATTTTCCATGGAAGGATTCAGGGGTGAGGGGTGGGGTAATAATCTCTTTGGAACCAGAAAAAAAGCTACCCCGTTGTGCTTGGGGTATGTGGCCAGAGTCAGGTATCAAGTAGCACATCTGGATGGGAGGGACCCTCTCTGCATTCCATCAGCATTCCTGAACCGTCAACACCCGGATACTGGGCTTCATCGCTCTGGCTTTGGCTAGCTCCAGGGCCTCTGCTCCAGACTGAGGTGATGTAGAGCGGACACTCGTTATTCTCCTCTGTGCCCAGGCCGCTTTCCTCCTGATGCAGAATTTACTTAGGGAGGATTCTGCTCCCCTTCTGCAGTCTTTTCTCCTGGTATCAACATACAAAGGGGCCCCTGCACTTTTCTGCATGAGTCTCCAAAGCAGGAGAAGGCCCTGGGACTGCATTTCATTTATCTTTCTAGGTCCAAGGTGGCACAGTGCTTGACACATAGTCGGCACTCAATAAATTATTTTGCTAAATAAAAGGCAGATAAAGTAGATTTTAGCCTGGGTTAGAGAATACAGTAAAGTGGGAAGAGCAGGGGCTTTGGACAGACCTGAGTCTGAATCTCTGCTCTGCTGCTTACCGGTTTTGTGGGCTCAGGTCGTTTCTTTTTTTTTTTTTTTTTTTTTTAATTTTTTATTTACTTAGGATAGTCACAGAGAGAGAGAGAGAGAGGCAGAGACACAGGCAGAGGGAGAAGCAGGCTCCATGCACCGGGAGCCCGACGTGGGATTCGATCCCGGGTCTCCAGGATCGCGCCCTGGGCCAAAGGCAGGCGCCAAACCGCTGCGCCACCCAGGGATCCCCTCAGGTCGTTTCTTAATCTTACTGAGCTTTATCTCTAAACAGGTATCATAATCACTAACTCAAAAGGTTACTGTGAAAATTCAGTGAAAATATAGGTGAATATTAATACAATATTGTTACCCAACCAATATTAATTTTATCTTTGCCTCAATTTCTTGAAGCAGATAGACCAAGCCAACAGACTTGAATGGTGAAAGCACTGAAAACTAGTGATTTAATTTTGCTTTAAAACACAGAGCCACATTTCAAAGAACATATGATTTTAATACAGGATGTGAATATATAAAACCAGATCAAAGTTTGGCTGAAGCAAGAGTGGAGAGTTTTCCCTCATCAGTTCTGAATTTCCAAGCCACATGGTGAGCCCCCACGTGGCTAGGAACCACTCTTCTAGAACTAACAGGAATGAAAGATGTAGGAAAAGTACTGAGTTCAAAGGCAGTTGCCCAGGGAGTTAGAAGACACTCAAGAGTGAAGTTGGGAAACCCTGGTCAAGAGGTAATGTTGATATTACCTAGTCTCTGTGTCAAAGAGACCTGTGTTGGGTGGAAAACTTCTAGGAAAGTTTCCTGGAAAAGAGGCAACTTCCATAATAGACAGAGAAGGGGTCTGGGAAGGGGTTCCTGGCACACTTGGAGCAAAGGCAATGTGATTTCTATGAAAGGAAATGGTCAGGCCTGGCTAAGCCTTCAGAATTCTTTGAAGGCTCTGAACACCTGTGCACCAGGGCAGACTAATGAACTTATTAAGTTAAAACAAGAAAAACTTTGACAACTTTTCACACCGATAGCTGTTAAAAAAAAAAAAAAACAAACAACATTATGAATTTATTGCCCTTACTGGAGAAGACAGGCATGGAGAGAGAACCAAAGGGAGGCCCAGATGGCACCATTCTACATACAGAATATAAACTGTGGTGTTCCCTAGGGCTTTGCCTAGGATGTGGTGCCCAGTTGTTTGATCAAATACCAGTCTAGATATTGCTGTGAAGCCTTACAGACATGATTGACATTTAAATCATGATATTAAATCAATAGGCTTTGAATAAAGCAGATTACTTTCCACAACAGGGATGGGCCTCTTCTAATCAGTTGAGGGCCTTCAGGGCAAAGATAGATTTCCCAAGCAATTCTACCTCAAAACTGCAGATTTCAGACTTAAGACTGTACCATCAGCTTCTTTCCTGAATTTTTGGTTGCTCTACAGATTTCAGGCTTGCGAGCTCCTACAACCATGTGAGCTATTTCCTTAAAACAAATATCTGTTTATTTGGCTGAAGATGTAGCTTTGTAGTCAGTCCTCTTGTTGAGCAAATGAGGAAACTGAGGCTCCCAGAGGGGAAGTGACTTGTTCAAGATCACGGATGTGTTGTTTACAGAGTCAAGATTCAAGTCCAGATCTCCTGACTCTTAACAGCCTTTTATTTATTTATTTTTAAGATTTTATTTATTTATTCATAAGAGACACAGAGAGAGAGAGAGGCAGAGGGAGAAGCAGGTTCTGTGAAGGGAGCATGATATGGGACTTGATTCCAGGACCCTGGGATCATGACCTGAGCCAAAGGCAGACGCTCAACCACTGAGCCACCCAGACATCCCTTAACAGCCCTTTAGCGAGTTTGTCACTAATCATTCTTCTTTTTAAGATAGGTAGGCACCACCTCCCTTTATGCTTCTTTAAAGTTGAGAGAAAGCCCCAATGCCCTGCCCTGTTCTTTTCCCTTACAGGTTAAGCCATGAAGGGAGTCTCATAAACAAAGCTGGCAAGGATAGAGCCTTCTGCCTTTGCCCTCCATTCAAAGTCTTCCTCACTCATTACCCTAATTTCTAAAATCCCACAAGAGAATCACTCGTTTGCTCCTGATCAGAATGCACATCCATATAAAAGAGGCACACTGAGTCTTATGAGCCACCAGTGTCAATGCCTCAATGTGAATAATTTTATCAGATCCCTTATATTTCCAAAGGGAAAAGAAAGACACACGAGAGAGAAAGAGACCCAAGGAGTATAGAACCTCAATGGACTACCCTAACTCATGATCTGGGGTCTTGGGGCTGTCTTCCGTGGATAGAGACTGAGTCTCTGCAATATGATGTGTCTTCCCATCCTACCTTCTTCCCTTTTAGCCTCCAGTATGTATCAGCTATTTCAAATATGGGGTCTATGGAAACTTTCGTGTGTTATTCCAACATACCACTTCCCCCATAGGTGTTAGAGTTGCTTTTTAACTTGGCAGGGATAGAAAAGAAGCAAATGGGGTGAGGCGAATTTTAAAAGGTGAGATTGGTAGAGGGCTGTTAAGAGAGCCAATTAGTGGCTGTCCACTTCAGAAATGTTATCACCCTTGACTGAAAGTATGCAGCTTGCCTGAAAGTGTTTTCCACATTCAAGAATAGCCTCTGTGAGCCCCACCCTGTGGAAAACTGCCCAGTGGCCTGGCACCATGATGATATACTCCAATTGCTCAACATCCCAGGAACTCCTTTGCTCTGAGGAGGGCAAACATTTTAAAAGGCTAGGTTTTATTTTTTTTCCTTGTGCCCTCATTCCATTTGTTTTCTTATAAAAATTACTCATATCTGTAGTGTTGATGTTTCCAGACACATTGAATGGGTCTAAAAACCATTGCTCACTAAACAAACCCTTTCAAAGCAGAAGAAAAAGAAGTTAGTCTCTCCCATCAAGCATGAGCTCATTTTTTCAAGTTCATTACCTCTTTTCCTCACCCAAGTTTGTTGGGCCAGAGCACACGCAAACCACACCTCAAACTCTAGCTCATGCTAAAGAAATTTGGATTAACAAAGGAAAAAAAAAAAAAAAGAGAGCGAGAAATAGGAGAGGAAGAAACAAGAAACACACAGTGCTGTTCCCTTAGCCCCGACCTTGAAACCCAGAACAAAGGCAGACAGTTGCTCGACTTGGAGGGGAGAAGAAAGGTGGGTGTGGGGATTTTAGATCAGAGCCATTGCTGGTCTGCTTATATTTAGGGAAGGGATGAGTCCCTGGGAAAGGTGACAGGCAGTGCTTGTTCCCATGGCCATGACACCCAGGGCTCACAGCATCCATTGGTTTTTCTCCCTTTTAAGCTCTAAACCTGCTTTCAATAATATGGTAACTAGTAGCCACATGTAGCTATTTTCATTCAAACTAGTTCAATTACATAACATTTAAAATTCAAAATAAAATAAAATAAAATTCAATCCTTGATGAGATGAGCACTGGGTTATGCTATACATTGGCAAACTGAACTCCAATAAAAAAAAATTAAAAATAAAATTCAATCCTTTGGTTGCAATAGCCCCATTTTAAGTGCTCAATAGCACTTGTAGTTGGTGGCTATTGTATAGAACATTTCCATCATCACAGAGAGTCCTATTGGATGGCACTGCTCTGGACTCTTGATGTTTGCCAGCTGACCTCAGAGTCATTCACCCACCTTAAGTCAGGACTAAGAAGCAGTGGCTCATTCTCAGGCAAGTGAGGACCTCAGGGGCGGGCAGTGCCAGCTGGATGCCCGGCCCCAAGGCAGGAATGCTATGGAGACTCCTTGGGGAGGTAAGATTTGGCGCCTCTTCATGAATTCAGCCTTTGCCCCAGTTAGGGAACATCAGGGGTGTGGGCAGCCTGCAGGGGCTCATCGGTATTTGCTCTTGGTAAGAATGTAAGCAGGAGAGGTCAACAAGAAACTCTGAGATTTCATTTGTTTTTCTCGACTAAATGGTGTATAAATTCCCTTTTGGATTTACAAGTCTATGATTCTTTCCAGGTAGTTAAAAAAGAAATTGGTGATTTGGTTTTTCAGCCTATTGTAGCAGAAAGCAAAAAAGGCTGTTACAGCAGAAAGCAAAATGAGGAAAAAAAAAAAAAAGCAAAATGAGAAAATTTCCTCATTAAGGAGAACTAATCAAAAGGAAAACTGTTTCTTTACAAGATTTGAAAATGTGTGTGTGTGTATAAAATCTAAATGAATTCTTTCTTCTTCTGGTTAGCCAACTGTATTCAGGGAAGAAGTGATTGGTTAACATTGTCTTTAATTTAAAAAAGGACATTGAAATTAAAGAAATTCCAAATGTGTTCAAAATCTTTGAAACTAGTTATAAGTGGAGTTTTAAACCTATAAACATAAACTAATACTAGCATTATTGGAAACTCAATTCGTATTACATGTAGAAATGTTGTTACAATGAAAAATATATTTAGGATCTGTGGATCCTGTAGATCAACTAATTGGTGAAGAGTAAAAATAAATTATGTAAAAATAACATTACATAGATAAAGCTCATTTGTTGACTTATTTCAACTGCCACATTTCTTAGAGTTTGCAGAGAAGAAACCATGAGTAAATTGCCTCACATATTCCATTACAGGTAGGCAGGATCAAATGATTTCAGACAAGATGACCAGGGAACTTTCTACTACATTATTAAGAAAGAACATACCCATTTCCTTAAATTTTCTTTTTGCTTCTCTGACTTCACAAGGAAATTGGGGTCCACGGGGGTCTGTCTGAAACTTTAATCAGGAGACATAGGTTTTCCCAGGGTTCTTGGATTTTCTTGGTCGTTCAGTCAGGAAATTGGAGGGTAAAATTAGGATGGGTGAATAACACTCTCAGATCCTTCATTTCAGTTCTGAGAACTGAACAATTTCAAACGGTTTGAGAAGGCAATTTGTACATTTAAAGTAAAAGAGAACAAAATCGTCATAATAATCTAAGTTACAAAAAATGATGGATCTCTTCACGAGGAAATTATCTTCTTCCCCTCGCCCTTTCAGGCCCCAGCTCACCTCCCAGGAAAGCAACCCAACCATGGAGAGTGCAGTTGGCTTCCCTGCAGAGTGAGATCCGACTACTCACCTGCCCTCTCCTCCTCCTCCTCGTCCTCTTCCTCCTCCTCCTCCTTGGGCTGTCCTGGCCCCCTCTGCACGCTGCTCTGGCCTGAGGTGCTTTTCTACCCAGCACCAATTCTCTGAACCTCCTGGACCAGGGAGGAATGGTCTGTGATTGGGAGGAGGCATCTCACATGGGCTGAACCTGATGCCGCCTGAGCTTGCCTCACTGAGGCCAGAAGTAACAGGAAGTTTCCCAACTGGAGATTTCTGCTACTTTGGAATGTGTGATTCTGACAGATGGCAGCACCTTGACAGGCCTTAGCTCATCATCACTCCTCTGGATTTCTCCTAGGTCTGGGCTTTTGTTTTTGTTTTGATTTGATTTTTTAAAAAAAATTTTATGATTTGATCCTTATTTCTGCTTTTGTGCCCTTAAAGGCCTATCTATTGTCCTGACTGCTCAGAGTCATGCTGGTACATGTCTGTCTGTCCAGGGTCATGTCTAGTTTCGGTTTTCATAACTTGCATATGCTACATTTAGGGGGGAGAGCAATTGCCCAATTAATACACTATAGGTGGTCCAAAGACCAATGAGAGTAATACTGCCCCTCCCTCTTCTCCCCTCCCCACCTCTGCCCTTCCCTCTCTTCCCCTCCTTTTGTCTTCCCTTTCCTTCCTTTCCTTCCCTTCCCTTCCCATCCACTGGAGCCACCACTTCATACCCAGCACCAACATTTCTGTTAATGTCTGCATAACATATCATGGTTTATGCACACAGTAGTTTATTTAGCCTACAGTTTGGGATGGGTGATGGCAGCAATATTAGAATTTGTTGAGTGCTTTCATCAACAGATGCAGGCATTTTCTTGGGTCTGGATCATCTCTTTAACAGGTTAGGTTCTTTAGGAAGCAGACCCCGAGACAAAGTTTAGTGTGCAGTATATTATTAGGGAATGGCCCTGCGATTAATACCCTTGGAAGGGAGAGGAAAGAAATAGGATTGGGCAGAGAGAGAAGACAAGTTGCCGTGCAGGTGGGACGGCCTCGGGCAATCCCCTCCCTCCAGCCGGGAAGCTCCAGGAGATGTTGGCCTGCGATGGTTGTTCTGCATGGGGCCCCTCTGTGATCAGTCCTTAAATAGAGGTCATCCTGGGAAGGTGGCTTTCAGGGTCAGGCTAGCTCTGAAGGGGGCTGACACTGGAGGCTGGGGTTGCCAGCACTCCCAGCAGCTGGGCAGCACACACCCCCTTGTTGGGGGGGGACCTGCATGGGGCATCGGTGATTCATCACACGCCTTATTCCTCCTCAGTCCTCCAGGACCCACTTAGATATGGCTTGATAATTCACGCAATGGAGTTCAATTGAGACTGTGAAAAATGATGCCATAGAAAAAATTTTAATGATGTGGAAATATATTCACTCATTTATTCAACAAATAGTTATCGAGAACTTCTGATGTGCCAGGCACTCTTCTAAATGCTAACAATAAAAAGAGCAGGTTATAAATAGCTTGTACAGTTTGACCTTTGTATATGAGTGTATAAATATTTGCACACATATGAATACACATTCATATATATATGAATTAAAGAGTTAAGGATGTAAAGTAAATATCAACAGATTTATATCTGGATGATATAATATGGATGGATTTTCTTTTTTTTCATAGTTTCTACGTCTGCAAAGGATCTCTATTACATTTATATAGAGAGAAACATAAATTATTAAAAGCATACTCTTTTGGAAATCTTTGTGATACAGCAGCAAGGAAGCAAACAAGGACATATGTTTCCATTCATATCCTAGGCATTTTATGTTCTATTACTAGGATTATGTGGGGGAGAAAATAAGCATGAATCTTTTCAAAATAGATAATGTGAACACAAAAGCCCATAACAAGAAAAGAGTAGCTAGGAAAGGAAGATTAATTCTCAGACAATAATTGCCACTCCTCCGCCCTCAGTACCTCTCAGAAATCTGGAAGTAAAAAGGTGTATGCATGTCTCTCTCTGCCTGGCTGTTCACTTCACCATCACCTTCCAATGCTTCTTCCTTTTCTGTGGTCATTCCAAGGTGAGCTAACAAACCTGGTGCCTGACGCGATGTCTCCTGAGCTGCAAGGTGTTGGTCCTACACGCTCCCTCAAACCTTCCAACCCTCATGGGGTCTCTCTTTCATGTTTGGGACAAGGAACTTCTCTTCACAGTCACTACATTCCCTAAATGGACCCCTCACTTCAAGTTCACTATGTTATGGGGCAGGGAGGGAGTCGCAGTGTAAACTGGATGGGAAAGCAATGGGCTTTCTGGAAGTTCTGAGTTACTTCATGGCTTTTGCTCTACGCACCAGTTTCAGGAAGAAAGGTTTTTTTTTTTGTTTTTTTGTTTTTTTTTTAAGAAAGTTTTCTTAAACCATGATTTTGTCTGCCATACTTTCAGTTCTTCTAAAAGGCCCAGGCACTGAAAGATTTACCCTTCACAGTGGACCTGTGAAGTATATACTATTATGACTCCCCATTTTACAGATGAGGGAAGCGGGGGATTGAGAAGATTAACTTGCCCGTGGTGACAGAGCTGTTTAGGGGTGACAACTCCCATTGGTCTGTCCTCAGGGACTGAACTCTCTTAACTATAGGCTATCCTGTTTGAGGGTAGACAATTGGCATAACCTTGAAAATGATATTAACATCTTAATTAATGTGATTTTTTTTTCTATTAACTGGTTAATGAGGTTAATAGAGAGTAGAATAATGTTCGTGGGATAGGTAAGAAGCCAGTGTCTATGAAACTGGCTCACAAGTCAGTCAGCCGGAGCACCGAGGCTCCCTGTGGGGTGGAGCCAGTCACCAATCAGAGCTCAGCTTCTGTTTTAGAAATGACCAAGCCAAACCTGAAGACTATGTGCCCAAGGTGCCCAGGTCCACCAGTCCTCTGGTGCCTCTTTAAGACTGCTTTTTCTCCAGCAGGTCTTGACTCCCTTTGCAAATTCTACTGAAATACATAAATTTAGGGTTTTTGGCCTTTGATGGGTCAACTGCCTTACGCAGCTGTCCTCTTGCTCAACATTAATTGACATTCGCCTATTCTCTTCAGCTCCTGTAGATGATAAATGCTTAACTTGGTTCATATTTTAGATTATGGCCACCACAAGATAACGTCTTTTTTTTTTTTAAAGATTTTATTTATTTATTCATGAGAGACACACAGAGAGAGGTGGAGACACAGACAGAGGGAGAAGCAGACTTCCCGACAAGATGACTTCTTGAAGCAAACTCAGCCCTCTCCCAGGAAAGGGACATGCCATTATTAATAACTTTTATAATTGGAGGGGACATTGGCCCATTTCAATAAGCAGTTATGGTTATTATATGGAATGATTATATGGAGTAAATATATTCTAATAAAATAACCAGTTAGCCCAGTTTTTCATCCAATGAAGAAATGTCTCTGTAACATCTTGATATTAAGTTAAAGGGGAAAGTCTGTGAAACTGGTTGTGTTTATTGCAGAGACATTTATTGAGGATGTTGTACACAATCATCCAAGTTGGGTCTAAGATATCTCAGTATCTGGAACGATTACATCTTTCCTAATGAACTAGTTTGTTTTTAACTATTTTAAAACTACTTTTAACTATTATTAGTTATAAGCCTTTAATCAATCTTGCCTCCGTTCTTATTCTCCCATTGAAACTGCTTGTCAAGTTACAGACAACCTCTATTTTGCTAAATCCGGTAGACACTTCTTTTCATTTTACTTAGTCGATCAGCAGCAACTAGTATAGGTGATAACTCCATTCTTCTCCTACTACTCTCCTCTTCTGGCTTCCATAATACCATATAGTTGTCATGCTTCCCCCTAATTCTCTGCTTGCTCCTTCTCAGTCCCCATTGATGTCTCCTCTTAGGCCTGACCAGTTGCATTAGAATACTCAAGAACAGGATCCAGCTCTCAATTCTGAGTCTGGCTCTGAAACCACACCACCATCAGGAGTCAGCTCCTCCCTCCTCGCCTTTCACTCATTCCCACCATTTCCTTTTTTGAAGGTTCAACAGGATAAAGCAACATTATCTAGATTTAAGGAAAATAATAAGAATTCCAGGTCTTTGTCTTCTTATAAGCACAATTGTGTTTCTCTGCTTTTCTCTTGGAACTTGGCCACCAGCTCTTAAAGAACAGTGAATTAGGTTGTGGCCTCTCTCAATTTGATATTAGTAAGCATATACACTTCTGATTTTTAAAAGTTTTTGTTTATTTTGTTAGATATTGGGAGTAGAAAATTCTGTGATGCAGTTTAAAGCTACACGCTTAATCAGAAGGGTCCTAAGAATATTTAAGAACATAAATCAGACTTTCTGGTTCCCCCCCTGAAAACAGCTCAGTGGCTTCCTTTTGTGTTCAAGAGTAGGATCCAAGCTCCTCATTGTGGCTTATAAGTTACTCATGTATTTGCCAACTTCATTGGGTACTACTTTCATCCTATCTGTGGTCCAAACACATGGCTCTCACACTCGCCATTCCCGTGAGCAAAAATCCATTGGCCCTAGTGGTTCTGGGCTGCCTCCTCGTCATTCTTCAGGTGCACCTCTGCTCTCATTTCCTCTGAGAAGCCTTTCTTGATGGCTCTTCCTAAAGTAGCCTGCCTGTCCGCTCCACTCTAGTCCCACGCTCTCTTTTATTATTTATTTTTTTTCCTCGCTCTCTTTTAAACATGTTTTATTTCCTTCGTAAAAATAGGCTGCTATTATCTTATTTGTTGTTTTTCTTCCTCTGCCTTTGCTGCCTTACTGAAACTAGAATAGTTTAAAATCAATGAATGGGCAGCCCCGATGCCTTAGTGGTTTAGCGCCGACTTCAGCCCAGGGCCTGCTCCTAGAGACCCGGGATCGAATCCACATCAGGTTCCCTGCGTGGAGCCTGCTTCTCCCTCTGCCTGTGTCTCTGCCTCTCTCTCTCTGCCTCTCATGAATAAATAAAATCTTTAAAATTATTTTTAAAAAATGAATGAGTTTCTGAATTGGGAGGTTTAGGGTGAATTAGATCTATTTGTCCTGGGCAGGCGGGGGGTAGGGAGCCCATTGCATTAAATAATGCTTGAGAAGAGCTAAAAGTATGTGACTGAAGTGCCAGTTTTATGA